AAAACTTTGATTTCATGAGCTTCATTAGCCGCTCCCTTGTCCTTGAAAGGATCCTCAGGGTTATTCAGTAGGAATCACTCGTGATTTTTTCCTGCTTGTTAATACAATGTGACATTTAATTGCAGTCAGTAGAGACCTGGTTTAGCGCTGGTGGAAGTTCAGAGCTGACCTACATTCAGAGACATTTACACCTGCTTCCCCACCTGACTTTCAGGGGCAGCATCTGCAGAGCAAGCCTGGCACTTGAAAGGAACCACCTGCAAAAATGAATGGATCTCTTCCCTTAAATAGAAATCTCTGTTCAAGGCACAGTTTGACCTCCCTGATGTAAAGAATTTCACCTAGTTCCCAAAGAGACCTTTGCAGACAGCTCGTGTTACGTCCCTTACCCCGATAAGGCAGCACCTTACACAAGGGGGAAATGGGAGTCTGCTTTCTGCTGCCTAGAAATGATGACTCAAATGTGAATACCACTGCAACATCCCAGCCCTTTTTGGTGGATTACCACCACAGATGTTTGGTTTCAAGCAGCTTCCTGGAAGAAAGTGCACTGCCATACACAGTACAGAACTTAATGCAAGTAATGAAAATGCTTCTGTGCTTCAGCTGATATTTTTGCCCCCATATTTGAAATTCCATTTTTGAATCAAACACAATGTGAATCCCACCCTTGCATCCACCTTCGATATCTTGAGTGGAGCCACCACCCAGGGTACCACCACCCTTGCAGGGAGGAGGGGATGATCTGACCTGTGTCAGACCTCTAAGGCGGCGGCAGCGGTGGCAGCAGCAACCATGCCCTGGGAGGACCTGTGTCTCTCCATGGACACCAGCCAGGAGCAGCCAAGATGCAGAGGCTAGGACTTCACCAGACCCAACACTGACCCCTCAAACTGATTTGCCAGGCAGTAGAGGCCCTGAAATGCCTTTTAACTACTTCTTTATGAAGGGAAGGAAAATTGCTCCAAGAAATAGGAGAATTCAGGATCCAAAGAAATATTCAATAATATAATTCCACTTGTTTAATATTGGAGGAATAATGACAAAAAGCAAACAAAAGCCACTTGCCCTGCTGCACCACGGTACTCCCAAAGGGTCAGCAGCAGGGCAGAGAAAGGAGCTTGCAGAAGGGAAGCTCTTCTGACAAAACGCAATGTGGTTTTGAAAACTTCTGGGAATGGCCTTCCCTCTTTTCCCTGTAGATGTCTGGCCTGACAAATGATTTCAGAGTCTGAGTTCCCTTTTTGTCTCCAAAGAATATTCAAAGGGAGAATGTTTTACAGAGTACAGGGAGTTGGAGCAAAAATGTATAGGGATGCTGAAGCAAAATATAAACAATTCTTGTGGGTGAGCAAAGGCCCAGGTGTGTGTGGAAATTAGCCTGGTGTAAGCTAGGGTGGGAAGATAAATGGTTACAGATCTTCTAGGACAGGGCATTTTTGCTTTTTTTTTTTTAATATTGCTTTGCAAGAGTTCAAACTCCACCAAAAAAAAAAAAAAAAAAGACTTATTCCACAATATCTGGGGAATAGGAGCAAGACACCAACTCCAGAGCAAGTACACTGGGAGAAAAGAAAGATTTCCACTGCCAAAACTATGTTTGGATAACTGTCAGTGGTCTTGAAGCTCCATGAAGTTCCTATTACTGAAAACAACTCCCTAGAGGATTTGTGTTGCTGTCTTCCTTTCCTAAACCAGAGAAGTAGGCTCAGTTAGTCTTGACATCTTTCAGACTAACCACAAAAATCAGAAGCCTAATGAGAATCCCTCACTCTATTGACCAACACAGCACATCTGCAGTAACTTGCATTTGAGCAGTCTCCCAGTGGCATGAAGCACAGCAGGACAAAAGGAGGCTCAGAAAGGCTCAGTGCTTTAGCACATAACATGTTTTAAATATTCTGTCATACAAGACAACGAACAGGTCTGAGGTCAAACTTCCAGCGTGCCTGGTGAATTTACAGATCCATGGCCCGTTGAAAGTATTGCAACTTGTTTCTGAAAGCTTTAGACTCTGCAAGCAGTTTCTGTAAACATAGCCCTGCCACAAGCAGTTTTCTCGGAGTGCTGCAAGACGGCTGTGGTGACTGCTTTGCTTACGAGCTAGCCTAACAGAAAAGACATATTTTACTGCAAAATATGAGATGTAAATTTTGAGTGTATGCTAGTGAAGTCAACCTACAGTAACAAGTCCTTAAGTAGTCTCCAGAGGAACAACCTCCCTGGCAACTGATTTTTTCTGGCGTATGGGTTCAACTGTTCACACAGTCTTCCAAGCAAAACTCCCCTCCCTCCTCCACTCTCCGCGTGTTCCCCCTCGTGCAGCCTGCTTGTCATATGGAATCTTCCTAGCAAACGGGAGCAGGATTTTGTAATAACCAGCTGGTAGAAAGAAGGAAAGTACATCATGTTACTGGGCTGTCAGAACTGCAAGGCTCCCCGTTTAAATCAGCCTTTAAAGACCACAGTGTTAAATGGCATATTGAACATCTGCTTGCTGCTAAAAATTGGCTTTTTACAAGACAATCTTGGACTTTTCTGGATGTACAGTAATTTTGATGTTTGTTCTTCATAATGAGGGCAAAGACTGAGCAGCCCCATCTTACTGGGGACAATTATAAACTCTGAGCAAGACAGATGCCAAGACCATCTGCTTCAAGACAGCCAGCCTCCTTACCAGCAAGATGCACGGGATATGTGGGACATTTCCCCCTCTCATATGTGAAAAAAGTCCAAGAAAAAAGCTGGCTAAAGGCCAAAAGAACTATCAAGTTTCCCAGGCAGAACTCTTAAGAACGATGGAGATAGTTGCCTGATCTGTAAGACTTCCACCGTAAATGTAATCAGTATTAATAAAAGTAGCAACATATTGGCAAGTCATTTCTGAAAGTTACAGATGCGTGACCCAGGGGAACAAAACCATGATGCTGCAACAGCAGCCCTGCACTCCAGCTTGCCTGTATTCCTTCCTGGCAGTGCAGCACACTGCAGCCCTCCCAAGATGCTCTTTTCTGCTTGAATCACTATATTGCATTCTTCATCTAATGTCAGAGGAGAATAAATTGGGGGAACTCGAAATGCATGCTTTCCTTTTCTCCCAACGCTGCCTTTTCCCTAGCTCTGTCTGCTCAAGGGCCAGGTTCAGCCTAGGGAGTCTCACACTAGACTTGCTCTGACCAACACTTAAAGCAATTTCTGGTGAAACATGAAGTGGGGAAGAGAAGGACATGATTTGAGCCGATTAGCCCAGAAAGAAATCTCTTCCCATGTGGCTGCTGGAATGTCAAGTCTAGACTTGCACCACACTGACACACACCATCTATCCCTGTGTACGGCAAACTAGCTGACAACGCAAGCTTTGCAGTTTGCAACTCTCAAGCTGACAAGAGGGAATTATCCTCATAAAAATTCCCCCTGCAGGCTTCAATGCAGATGTGAGAAATTCCACAAAAGATTAACGAAGTGACCAACTGTGAGCGACAAAGGATTTTATCTTAAAGCTTCTAGGGGAATTCTGATTCTGGCCTTGCTGCAAACATTTAATCCCAGTTCATCAACTCCAACAGAATTGATTGAAACATTTCTTTTTTTTTTCCTTCAAAGACAACACCCAGTATATTACTACAAGTTTATACACTTATTTTTATACTTTGCATATACATATTTTTAAATATATATCTCATGTTCTGCTGGAAGGTGACACATGGAAAAACACAGCACCAGTGACAGAGCCAAGCATTTTGTGTATTATGATTTAAATACTTTTAAGGCATTTGGGAAAGGTGTTTCTGATCTGAAAGCTAATATGTGTTCCTGTGAAAAGTTTCTCTATTTGCTCTATTCCTCCTCTCACCCCTGTTTCCCTGTACATATAAGCAGTTAATGGTCAGGGCACACCGTAGCTACCCAAATTACTTCAGCCTCCTTTCTTGAAGCAGCACCTGGGGGACAGCATACACCAGAGCTCTACTCCCAGCTCATGAATCAAACCTTCCCTATAAAAAGCACCCTGTTGGAAATTCACCCTCTGTGAGACAGCAGCAGCTCTTTCCCACCCACATCCTGAAGAACAGAGAAATGGGAACAGCCTCTTCTCTCCCTGCAAAGGAGATCAGTCATCGGGACATGTTGGACCAGCTCTTTCCTCTCTCTCCAGGCTCTACCATTTCCTATCTCAGTACATGGGTGCAAGGCTGGGCAAGGCCCAGTTACCACCCATACACTGCTTGTGAAAACAGTGTGTGGAGTTTTTCAGGCACACTAAGCTACTGAGATGGGAAAGTAAACAGAAACATGTAAACTTGTTGCAGTTACACACCAGCACAAACTGACAGTGGAATGACTCTTGAGCTCAGCTTTAGAGTTAGTCTAAAAATGCCTAAGCTCCATGTTCACTCACAAGGGCCTACCTTGTGTAAGTACTCTATGAAAGACCAGAATTGTCTTGTAACCAGTCAAATAACCCAAAACCCACAAAAAACCCAATCCATTTCCTTCTGTCCATCTGGGATTCTTTGCTTCAGCTTCTATCCTGCTGTCAATTAAGACAATTACTCCTTTGCTATTGTTGATAATGGATGAGCAGTGATTGGATTTACAGTAAACAATATAATATAATTCAAAACTGTAATTAAAAGACTGATCAATGGGATAAGATTTGCTACATATTTTTACTTCCATTATGAACTCAAAAAGAGAGGAGACTAGGAACTGAAAATATTTTTTCTCCTGTTACCAACTTGCATTAGTTTTGAATGAACATTGCTAGAGAATGAGTTTATCTGGTACAACTGCAAATTAAAATAACAAATGGTAGGAAATATTTTATATGGACACTACAAGATGGAAAAATTGCATAAAAACAAGCAGACTTTTTATAAAAAGATTTATTAAAAATAAGTTCTTTTAAGAGAAAAAGTGTGGCGTATATACATTAAATCATCAAAACCTTCATGGGGCTTATAATACAAGCTATTCCAAACTGAACAGGAGACATTCACTCTTTTTTTTTCTAATATGTCATGCTTACTGGAACAAAACAACATATGGGAAACAAAATCCAAACACATAGCACCCAACCATTACAAAATCTTGAAAGTGAAGACTACTGGCAAAGGTGAAAGTCAGTCATCATCATGATTCTACAGACAGAAACTAAGACTAGGTATGAATGCAGTCTTCAGTTGACAGAATTTACCTGCCAAGTGATAGCTTCCAATTAGTTCTTCATTTCTACTCCGAATTAACAAATCTCAGTAAGTGGGTTTGTGTTTTATAAAGGCAGAAGTATTTTGGTGACAACAAAATACCACCTAAAACCAGGTAAAGAAACACATCTTTTCCAGCTCTTGAAGTAGGTACCAAAGGTTTCTTTTTTTGGAAGAAAGTTAACAATTGCTGGTTTTCTCCTTTGACTCTCCACATCTCTTGACAGCCAGACCCACAAAAATAGTTTTTCTTAAAATTATTTTATTTTACAAGAGTGTTTTTCACAAGCAGTGACAGGACAAACTAACATGTGATTCTGCATGCTTCAGATGACCTCAGCTCCTCATACCCAGATGCCATATTTAGAACTATATCCTTTCAGCTGAGTCTTCTGAAGATTTCTTGGATCTTAGTGCATATATACAGCAAGCTGAGAACTGCAGTATTACACACATCTACCCATCCTTACAGCAGAATTCATTCTAATCTCAGATGTGTGCAGGACTTGCATCTTTAGGTCTTTGTAGCCTCATCTTTAGTCCCACAGTTTAATAAGACCATCCCAGCCGCATGTGATGACTTTAGATGTTTCGTGTGGATGCCACACTGCACCAATACAGACTTTATCATGTGCTTTTAATCTGCTGTAGAGTTTTGTCGTCTTCCAGTCCCAGATGTTTAGTTTTCCATCTGCATCTCCAGATATCACATAGCTATATTAACAGAATTAAAGGTTGTATCATGTGCGAAGACAGCTTGTATTATAACACTGTTACACTGAGCAACAGAAAGGAGCTTCCCCCAGTGAGCTTCCTGTCTGACAAACAAACCTACCAAAAAATTAGCATTCGCGCTGTGCTCTAGAGAGCACAAGTCCTGCAGAAGGTGATTCATCAACTGTGAGGTAAATGTGCTAAGCAATGCGATTACACCATACACTGTGTTACTGGAACCAAAGAGAATACATCAGCAAAAGAGAAAGTGCCAGAAGTTCCTCTAAAATTTACACACACTTTTTCCACCAGTTTTGCTGAGGTTATTCTCCAGTTTTTATAGTAACTGATGTCTTACGTGCATATGGTAGTAAATGTATGGACATATTACTAAGCCAACAGGAAGAAAGAGATGGTTGTCTCAACAACTAGTGAGGATACCTACACCAGACCTAGAAACTGGGAAAACAGGTACTCTAGACAATGTTGTGGGAACAGACCCTGTGCTGCAGAGTACGTGCAAAAGGAGCCAGATGTGAGTCAGACATGGAAGCCTCCTGTGCTGTGCCAGGATAAGGCAAAACGAGAGGAGTCTCCAGACGGTTTAACAGTCATCTTCAGGGAATGGGGGATCTGGACTACACAGACTGTTTTCTAAATGTTCTTCAGAGCAATCCCCAAGCATAACTTAGTCCCATCATATGCTAAGAGTAAGCTTTCTGTTCTACCGCCTGGCTAGGGAACTCTGAGGCTGAGCTAATAGCATGGCTGTGCATACATCAATGTTGCAGAGGATTCAAAAAGAAATTTAGTGTCTGTACCTGCAAGTTTTAAGACGAAGTTCGTTTCCAGGAAAACTTACCTCATATCAGGTGAAAAATCCACTTGACAAGCGTAGCCAGCTACCATGTGACCTTTGAAAATTTTCTTTTTGTTTAATCTGAATCTGTTCTGAGCTCCAAAAATCAGAATTTGATTATCCATTGACTGGCAAGCCAACCATTTCCCTATAAATGCAATAAGAAAAGGTGGTATAAGGGTGCTGCATCTGAAGAAAGAGACTTAACTAGAAAGTTTTAAGAGATTTTTATAATTTTTCCTGCACAATCATTATGTAGCAGCTGATATTGCAACTACCAAGAGTCAAAATCTTACATTTGACAAGATTTGGGATGCCTATTCCTACAAAATGCACTCGGGACTCTAGCAAAGCTCTGGCTGTTACAACAATGTGTTGCACCAGTCCTGCTGACATACTCTTAAGTTTTTAAGCTACAGAGTAAGGTTGCTGGTGCATACACTCAGGCAGCTCAGATCAGGGGGAAAACCCCCATCTAGCTGCAATTCATTTCATCACCTGTTTTGTGGGTACTCTAAGACAGTCATCTCTTATTTTCTTTATGGAAAAAACAAGTTTAAGGTAGACTCAGGAGTTTGAAAATACTTACATTTTTGCAACTATTTAGTATTCACTGCTTTAATAGAATGCAATTAATAAAGATATTTTAGTAAAAGTAAACATGGAGGCTTTTCTAATCTTAACTCTCTCTCATTTTCCATCTTGGCAGTGCATTAACTCCTGCCTGGGAATCCAATGAAGATGATATGCTACAGAACACCCTAGAATAGAGACTTCTGTCCTTAACTCTGCATGTTGTCACTGCCTTTTTGGTGTTTTACCCGAACAATGACAACATAAAATGTGCTGACTTGACTATACATCTGATCACTCTTCCTGCTACTAGTTTGGAATTTGAGGATTTTCTTCGGCCTCCCAAAGACAAAAATGATGTGTGTACAAGCATATTATTCTCCTCTTCCGCTCTTAAAAAAAGGTTTGTTTCCTGCATTGCTCAGAAGAAATTAGAGTAGAGCAAGTTGTGCAATTTCAAAAATGGGTTGAAAAAGGCCAGCTTAGGAAGCTAACATTTTCAAATGCAGCTACCTCTTTCTCCAGAATCTTCCTTTTAATATTAGGAACCCACTCTGTTTGTTAAGAATAAAACATTTACACTGCAAAGCAAATACAATTTGATGCTGACAGCTGGCTGAAAACGTCAGGTGTGCAACAAGCTGATCAACCACTACTCAGCATAATGGGACTGTTAACTGCAAATCTGGCAACACTTTAATAATGGTGACACTGAAGCTATTTAAATTTGGCCAAAACAAATAACAGAGATTTGTCCTGTTAGAAGGCTTTTCAGTGATTACTTGAGCCCCTAAACCTTTCTCCTCCCTCAGTATGATTCTAGTTGAAGAACATAAACCAGTGAAACATTAACATAAAGAAACACTGAGATAATTTGGGGTTTCTTTTATGCAAGAGTTATTTGGCCTATATTCAGAACAGAAAGAAACAGGATCATGTACAACATCGGTTTTGCTTTAACAGTGGCACCACAAGGACTACTGAACTTGCTTAGTACTTTGCCACTATTGTCAGTTCCCACCATTCTTTCTCTTAATATTTCAAATACAGCAAAGAGCACATGATAGCTGTATGAAAGGAAAGAGTCCTTTTGCCCTGTCTGGATGAAGATCTAATTTTAAATGGATAGTTACCCTGATATAAACACTCATTTTGACATATGTGTTCTTCTTAAGACATTTAAATCAAAACTAGATGCAGTCCAATCTTGGAATAACTGCACAGAGTGATTGGCAAGGGGGGTAGTGTAGGGTGACAGGGGGATGCAACACAATAACACTACAGAGATATAATCTGTAAGACATGCCTTAGTAAATTAGGCCTAAGAAGGCAGTAAAGTGTTAACCTACCATTTGGAGACAAAGTCACAGCTGGCATGGAATGCATGCTTGGTTCAGCAATGTACTTGAAGTCTACAGGAATGTCCCTGCAAAAGGAAGAAGTATGTGCTTTATGAAGACATGGAGAACATCCAAAGAGCTGCCTCAAGTCAGCTGATTTACTTAGTGACTGAACCCTAGAGAACATATCGTGGTGTCCAAAGGAAGAATATGCAAAAGATCAAAAATACTATGGATGTCCACCTAGAGAGCTCCAGCAACACCATAACCTCTGATAACGTGAATTTAACCCCATCAAATGACCCAGAGTCTAATGCAGAATCATAATTCCAATTGTTAAGAATAAAACTGTAACACCGTGATCCTTTATTGCCTCCATTATAATTGCAGCTTGTACAGAATTCATATATAAGTAGCAGGAATACTGCTATACGTATGCATATATCTTATTGGAATATTTTACTGACTTTTGTTTTAACTAGAATATTTCTGCCTTTTTTTCCCCTCTTTTTTCAAAGGAAAAGAAAACAGGGGTCTCTCTCATCTCTCTGACAATGCCCTTTTCCTCCTGATCTCCCCAAATGGGATGCCAACCAATTCCAAATGTTCACAGCTGAACTGAATGGTGAACTCCCTGGGCTCAATCACATACCAGTGTATGTTAAGAACAGACACTGTCCTGTACAAAGGCCTAGGGAAAAAACAAGTACAGTCTAATCCTTGCTCTGCAGAACTGTCATTTGGTTTTTACTATATAAATTGAATTACTAACGGTCTGTGCATATTCACAGTATTCCTCATATCCTACATTAGAAGACTGGCGAAGAGAGAAGGCATGCACATGGCTTTCTCATTAAGCAAAAGAAACCTCCAGCAGAAAATAGATTCGATTAATGCATTCAGCAGAAAACACATGCAAAATGTTCTGTAGCAACATTAATTAATACAAAGGGGATGTTTATGACTTCATTGTCTAACTCACACAGCAGAAGGGAGCAGAGAGCATGGGTGGCTGCCTCGTATGAGCTGCCTGAGCCTTGCTGAATGGCAACACAGTTGACACTAGCAAGGTAATTACAATCCTGTTTTATTGTGGAGTAAGTTCTTTCCCGTCATCTTGCATTAAACATGAACATGGACAGCAGGGTGAGAAGCTGCTCTGCTGTCAAGAAGTGACACAAATGCTCCTGTGTGTTAAATGTTAAAATCATTTACCCCTCAGCATAAGAAGGGCAACCCACTTAATACACTCCATGGATAAAAGCACGTGCTTTAGGCCAGGGATAACTGGCTTCCAAACAGGCAGACCTAAGACTACTGTTGGGCAGCAAACATGTAAAGAAGTAACAAAAAGTTCACCAATTTCTTGGGCTGACCAACACAACAACACAGGAAGTGCCACATGCCACATCCTACCCAAACGGTTTCAAACCCCAACTGCAACAGGACACAAGGTTATTGCTGCAGTTAAGGCCAGGTCCTGATCAGCTCCCACCATCCAAAACTCCTGCAGACCACCAATCATCTGAAGTCCTCAATCCCAGGTAAAACCAACCCCACTGGAAGCCCTATTAAGCAAAGTTTCATCACAGAAGATGCATCTCTAATGCTGAATTGTACTGTAGTCAGAAATTTAAATGCAGCACAGGTTGCTCTGCCTTTCTTCTCCACACCAGCTCTGCTTTATTCTGATACCTACCAGACACACTTAGGACAGCTGCAGGATATGCTGCATTAAACTATTAGGCAGAATAAAGAGATACATTTATGTTTCACATTTACTTCCAAATTGCTAAATAAGTATTAACAGCCTGCTCTCTTAAAAAAAACTGTTAAAAAAATTATCAAGACAAATGCTATCATGGTTGTCCAGCCTCAAATCTCATGTGATATACTGTTTGGTGAATTTTTAAAATTTAAATACTTTCAAGTCCTTTCCTCACTTCATAGCATTTCAAAGGCTGAAAAGTTTTAAATACCAAAAGTGGTATCTGCTAGCCAAGATGTAGAAGTGTTATATTTGGGGGTTCTGATACAACTTCTTCCTTAAGCAAGATAGAGAAAAATTTTTTTAATAAAAGAAGAAAGGAAAACAAACCAACCGAACTCCCCAGATCTAACCCAATCCAGTTTTGGGACCTACACCTCATGAAGAGCTCTCTCAGGAGACTACAGTATCATTACCAGGAATGATGGACAGAAGAGGCCTGCTGAGGGGCATAGCTTTATAGAGGTGACAAGCCTCCAAGCCTGTCAGCACAACAGCTGTTACCACTGTACAGTTCTTGCTTTGCTGGCTGACTTGGAGGTAAAAGAAAATAAAAGCCTCCAAAGTCAACTGCCAAAATCATTTCACTGTTTATCCAAGTAGGATCAGACACATATGAAGCAAAGACAAATAACACTGCATTTCTAGAAGAGAGAACACAGAATCCATACACATATATCCATGCCAACTTTAATATCTAATCACATGGAATGCAAAGTTAGAAAAATTTTCAAGTACTCCTATTAATATTCCTAAATAAACCATTTAATCTGAAAGAGTCTACGCTATACTTGCAGTCTGAACTTTAGGCAACCAACTAACTGCAATTCAGTGCACAGCACAGTGAAATCTATACGTGGGATGAACTCCTGGGAAAAGGAGATTTAAGTTCTCAGAAGTTCCTCACAGTGATGAAGTCAGACATACCATCCCATTACCAGCTCTGGCCAAGTCAAAGTGTTTATAAAACACACTACAAAATTCCTCTAGACAATTAAAACCATGCAATTAGACCAGCTTTTAATTACTTGCTTTTAAGGCCATACTCAGGTCATAATTACTTCCACTTTGTTTCTGAAGGATACTGAAGAAATATTGTGCTGAAGAACGTATGAAGAAAAGTGCCAATAAGTGCAGTAACCAAATCACCCAAAGTAGCAAATAATTTTCCTTATGAACTTAGGAAAAAAGGATTTGAGAAAGAATTTGCCATGGAAGTTTTCAAGCTCCAAAAGCTTTCTTAGCAAATGTATTAACTTAGTTTTAAGGTATTTAAAAAATCTGGATCTTAAAATTATAGAAATATGCCTACAGATCGATTAACATAGAACACGGCAGGTTGTGAGGAAAGGTTTTCAAGTCATGCCCAAAAAGATGGCATTACATTTACTCTTTATAAAACAAAAATCCCCAACAACTGCATTACAGAATACTGCCTACAGTTGAGTTCCCTATTATTTCAACAAGGGTGCTCTTTCTTCAGTGTACAACAAGGTCAGTACATATTTTTTTCTTCAGAAGAACAAAACTTCTGCTACTGGAACAATCGGGTTGCAATGTTCCCATGCCAGAATCTTTTTGCCTTTCTTGCTCTTCCCCACAGAGTGACTAAATCCACCCACTTCACTATTTATTTCAGCCATCAACACAAAGCTCACAAAAACAAGGGCAATCCAATCTTAAGGAAATAGCAGATTTGTGCAAGCGAGATCATCCTCCCACTCACCAGAGAGAAGACATTCCTTAGCAGACATGGTATTGTAAAGATTTTTCTTTAAGGAGCTCAGTAAATGCATGGGTCTGCTTACGAAGTACTGAACAGAGGCTCTCTTGGAGTGGCATATGGAGACAGCATTTTATGTCTAGCCTAAGCCTGAGTTCCCAGACTTTGGTCATTCCCACTGCTGCTACTGGCAATGATAGCTGCTGATCACAGACATGCTGAGGATTTAGCTGCCTGCTTGGGTAACATTCCAATACCACAGATTGGAGTCTCTTGTCTAAGTTGAAAAAAAAAAAAAGCTGGGAAGGAACTGATTAGTCACAGAGCTGTTGAACTAGCGTTTGTATTATGCAACAGCTTTGCATGTGTGAACACCAAAAGGAAATGAATACCTAAAGATATGGGAGTGATTATTTAAAAATGAAATTTCAAATCCTAGAGAAATCTTAAACGTCCTAAATTGAAAATCCTAGTACCTAGAACCTTGTGGAAAACATTTCAGATAGGAGAGATCTGTTTTCTCCCCAGGTCAAATGTTAAAAACTGCAAGCCATTTAAAATATTTCTTATTATTTTTTCTTGGACAGACTCTCACTTTTCTGTCATCTATTGTATTCATACTGTGAGTATCACTGATTGCCAAAAACACCCAAATTACCAGAAAAACAGAAATGAAGCTACGCTAAACTAGTTATTTCAAACATGGGCCAAATATATATAATACTGTGCACAGCCAAGTTCAAAGCATTCAAAACCAACACACGCTAATTGTAAAAAAGCAAAAATTTCTTTAAAAGGTTAATTTAATGACTAATACACCCTTGGGGAAAGGAGAGAGAGCAGAGACCACTAATAGACAGCAGCATGCCTCAGGCTGATATGGCTGTCTTATGTTTTCTTTGGGGAAGAGGAAATCTATGAAGTGTCTCAAGCATTAGCCACAACAGGGTTTTAAAGCTCTTCCTCAGTTAGCTAGAACACAGTACACTCCAGCAGCCTATGTGCTATGTATACCTTTAAAAATAAACTCTCTTCTCAATTTGCTCATAATATACTTGAAGTTAAAATTGAAAATTTTAAACTTACCATTCCCAGACTCTTAAACTCTTGTCATCAGATGTACTCACAAACCTTCTATTTTCATCCACAAACACAATGGTGTTGACAGCTCCCAAATGCCTATCGTATTCTTGCACAATCTCACCACTTCGAATATCCCACTGCAAGTAAAAGAGTCAGAATAAGAATTTGGTTTTTTACTAAACACCAGAACTTTTAAAGAAATAAATACTCAGTAATAAATACCTGCACAATTTTCTTATCTGACATTCCTGCAACAAAGAGATTTTGTTTATCTTCATCAGGATTGAACTTGACACAATAAGGAACCTTCCTGTTCGTGAATCTTGAAATACATTGCCCTGCAACAGAAAGCCATTCATAGTGCATCAGGCTGGAAGTTCTGTGGGCTGATTGGTTGTTTGCAGATATTGATAAAAAATACTTTACTAACAGTAGAAAATACCTGGTTTAAAGTCCTTGAGAAGATTAGAGGGTAGAATTTGCTCTGCTCTTTCACATTTGTACGCATACACTGGCATAAACATGTGCCCATAAAAACTGTTCTGTAAGTTTACTACAGCTTTTGAAACAATATGACTGCTCAGTAACCTGGATGTCACCAGGACATATCAAGAAGATAAAGACTGGTCAGGATATCACATGCTGACCACTGCCTTAGCAAAGCATCACCTTCTTAGGATCAGATGTCTTCTGAACAAGAGATGTAAACTCAGGCAAGAATTCCTCAAGCCTAAGCTAAGAAAAAGCTGCAAAATAAAGCCCTGACCTCCCCTCATAGCTTCAGCCAAAAATAACCTGATTACATGTTATCCGTAACTTTGAGGGGCTCATTTTAATCCAAAAGCTCTATCTAAATAACTGAATTCAGACTCAAGACTGAAGAATCTGACTTACACCTTTTTGGCTATCATCTGTATAAGACTAGTGGCACTGCTAACCCAGAAAGCTAATGTCTTTTTCACACATGGGAACTTCCTGTCTTAGGAAGAGACTTCAGTTTAAAAGAGTATTGACAAAATCTATCCTGTATTTTTTTAACTTCATAGAATCATAGAGTGGTTTTGGTTGGAGGGGACCATAAAGATTATCTGGTTCCAACCCTGCTATGGGCAGGGACACTTTAACTTAGGAAATTTAAGAAACTATTTGTAGCAGAATGTTACAGCACATCTGGAAGGCAGTTGTGTGAGAGCATCACACCTACCCTCCAACTTTCTATACCAGCAGCCCAGTTTCCTATTCTTATTCTTCCTATTCCTATTCTTACTCAGGAAGTGGAAGACAAAGTGAGATAATTCTTCTAAATTAAGCATATTTAGGTCTAAAGAATAACTTTATCCCTGTAGATGTAAACATGCAATTAAATGATCTAGCAAAATGTTGTCTTTTTTCTGAGAATTGTTCTAGCATTACAAATAACTATCAAACTTCTCAAATGAAAATGTGTATGAAACACAGGTATACAGGTCGTGTCAACTGCACCATTACAGACCACAACAAAACACGAAGGGGAAACAAGACTATTCACCCTGTCATGAAAGGCTGAACACTGAGCTACAAGACAATATTAAGGATATTTGGAAACAACCTGAATGATAATATATCTTTATACTCACTGTTAATTAAACATCGTGCCAAATAACAATGTTTACAAATACAAGCCTACCTGTTTCAGTGTCCCAGAGTTTAAGATAGCGGTCATATGCAGCACTAAGAAACTGAGTGCCTGCATTATTAAAACAGATGTCTCGAACAGCTTTACTGTGTCCTACAAAATAGAAAAAATGTGATGATATACTTTCATCCATTCATGCTTAGAACTAATTTGTTGGGGGGAGGGGGGAAGGATTTAAACAAAAACTCTAGTTAAATGCTCCAGACTAACAATGCAAAGAAAACAATAAAATCATTTATTGACGTTCTTCATGACAACTAGTAAAGAATTCATGTGAAAAAAAAAAATTATCTCTCAAAGAACAATGCGAATAAAACCCCAACACCCCTCACACCTCTAAAGCACTGGAGAAATGAAGACATTGCACTGTGTGTCATAAATTGATACATAAGCAGAATTTCAGGAGAAATTTAAAACACTCTAACAAATGTCAACATTTAACGAAAAAAGAAGAGACAAACCCTACAGGAGACACATTTAAAGGAGAAACATTTGTAATTAGAAAAGAGGTTAAAAATATGGGACATATTAGATCAGAAAATTAAGAATGCTTTCATCTGGTGGAAACCTTGCCACCCCTCAGGTTCAATACCTTCATCTGACCACTACATCAGACTTGTAAATCTCTTTAATTAAAATACTGGTACAGTAACTTAAATATAGCAAAATAACAGGCGAATCTGGTTGATAATAAGGACCTTTAGAGAAAAAGAATTTGACTGTTCAGTAAGAGCAGTCTATTGAGAGAGAATCTTTTTTGAGCCATCATCTTTGTCACATTCCTGTCATCAGAAATATTAGGGGAAAAAAGACTTCCTTATTGTTACTCAACATATATTCACTCAATGTTCTAGAAATGTTCCCATTTCAAAAAGAGAAGCAGCTGCTTTTGTTCTGCATTCAACGCTGCTAAGAAGTTTGTATTTCTCTCTCTCTCTCTCAACTATCTGCTTCAAAAAGCACCTGTTATATGAACAAAGACAGCATCTGAACCTAAAAAAAATTTTCCCATGCTTTTGCACTAGAAACTCAGCACAGAGGAAACGACCTATTTAAGGTGGGATCATCAGAGCATGAGATGCCCTCACAGTATAAATACAGAAAGCTGCTGTTTCCAGCATGAAGATGGGGCAATTTAATTTCACGATTTTGCCTTTGGAAAGGATCTTGCAAAAACTGTTGATGATTGTCATACACTAATGTTTCGTTTTAAAGGTTGTAAGGTGTTACACATCAACATCAGATTGCTTGGAATAATGACAAGATTTTGTTAAAACCTTGCATCTTTTTCAATTCTTACTGCCAAGATCATTCCAAATACTATTTGCCTTGGATGTGTACGAGTCCTCTGTATGATAAATTATTAAGCTAACCTAAATCATATTCTTCCATGAAGTTGTTTTAAATATAAATCAGTTTAAAAGAAAAACTATTACCAATAAAAGTTCGTAGACATCTTCGATCACCATATACTTCCCATAGCTTGGAAAAAGAGATGGAGAGAAAATATGTCAATTGTTAAACAACAATGATGCTGAAATCAAGTGCAAACATATATGGCAACATCTTTTAAGAAATTAATCACAAACATATGACATCTATTGATTAGTCACAACTATCTATCCAGAAATTCACAAGAATGCTCTCACCTTCCTATTAGCAACCCCCCCTTAAAATAACTAAAAATCCCATACAATATTCCAACTTTAAAGACTTAAGGTTTTGCTACTGAAAAATCCCAACAACATCAGCTTTCTAATACGGTATACGCTGGACTAAAGTGAGATTAGTTCAAAAGCACAGATGCTTCAGTAAAACACTTCAGCAGAAACCTACTGTTAGTTATAAAACTAGGCTTCACAGAAAATGAATTAATATAACAACAAAGGCAATACCCTGAGGTACTTGTGACCTTCTAAATGCTATTACTAAACGATTAACACTGTTCTAACAGCCACAGCCTTATGTATTATTTCTATCTTTGTTCCAATGAAATTGTAATTTAAAAATCAAGTGAGAAAAATAAAAGTAACACAGACAAAAGGTATTTGTTAGAAATATCAAATGTTTTTGTATCCTAAAATGCATTGTCTGTATTCAGAAAAATAACTCACCTTAATTTTGCAATCCATAGAGCAAGACAACAGTATATGCCCAGACAGAGGAAACAATCTAACTGCACTGACACCCTGTAAATAAGAACATAATTAAACAGATATTTCCTCAGTTCATTTCTTTTCCAAGCAAACAGCTAAAGCTTATCTTCATAAAATATACAGATACTGTATCCCGAAAAGAAAACCTATCCACATTCCATTTTAGAACAGTGATGCATTTTGAACAATTGTTATTGGCAACAAATTGATTCACTTTAACAGCTGTATATGTAGCCTCCTTCAGTATTCACACCTTTACTGCGGTAAACACAGGAAATAAATACAAACTTAGGGTTGGGTGGCTGTTTCTGTGTAAGAAGCCTTTATAAGTGGGGCGGGTGAGGAACTTTTCCACAAAAAAAGTTTTTTGGCCAGCTCAATTTCTTACATATACTATCAGTGGCTTCTACCTATTGAACTCAGATTCTCTGAGCACAGCATCTTCCCATCTGTCTGTATTTCAGGTACTCCTTTCAGGGGAAGTCTAAGGAACCCCCAAGTACTCATGGCTTGATGCCCCTCCTTTTCATTTCCTATCAATTACTTTATTCATATGCCATCCAGTTCCACCCTCCCACCCCTGACTGGAGTTGGGTACTTTATCCTCCCTATTACTGTCTACTTATATCCTCCAGGTTTTCTAAAATTGTCCACCTATCTTTCGCTTCTTTCATCGATTTCATTATTCATCTTGTTTGAAGGAAAAAGCTATTTTGTGCATCAGTCTGTTGTAATAGGATAATAGGCAGAGGAGTGACTAGAGCTTTGGGGAGGAGATGTTATTCTGGAAAGCCCTGATAGTTGCAGCTATAAACTCATTGATGCTGCAATAAGTAAAGCAGATCTCAGATCTGTGACAACTAAAAAAGGGTAAAAACTAAAAACATTTCCTGTGTCCTCCTTTCTTCTGGCTTTCAAGTATTACGGTGCTCTCTGTTGCAGTGCAGCATGTTCCTCTCAAGCAATATTGAAAAGTAGTGACAAAAGAAGTAGCAAATTGATTATAACCTTTACAAACCTGATCAGTGAAACACTCTTTTAATACCAAAAATACGTACACAGTTACAATCTCTTGCACAAGAAGAAACTGTGGATATTAAGTAGTATCAAAGAAAACTCTTAACAAGACACACGTCTCAAAGGTAATAGCTGTATTTGGGAAACCTGTAATGTTGATACATCATAATCAAAAAACCCATGTAATTTTTTACAAGTTGGATACGAAATAGCCCTTAAGTACTTTTACTATTAAAAAAACACAACCCCCCCAAATTCTCATGAATCTCTAGATTTAGCTTTATCGTTATTCACATGGTAGTTCAGGAAATAACTCCAAATCCCACAGAACTCACTGGATAATACTCTTCCCCTTAAGGGAGAACCACTATGTTGACAGAAAAGCATATGCAGCTAGATAACTGCACGTGAGCAGCCAAACACCTTGTGTGAGCATGTAATGCATATGTAATGCAATTACATGCATAACGTGGTAAAGATGAAAAAACTCTTTCCTTCTACTGAAGCTTCAGTTTTATACAAATTACTAGCTGCAGACACAAAATTAAGTGGGTTTTTATGATGTGTGCTCACAGACATTCCTACCTTTGTATGTCCCGACCACACATGGATTTGTTTCTTTGGAAGATAGCACTTCTCAGGTGGCACTGTAGAACGAAGATTAACTCCAACATCTTGCGGGACATGAAGATAAGATCTCCCCTGATAGTCATACATTTCCTTAACTGAAAAGACAAACACAGAATTCTGAGAATCCAAGAACCTATATTTTAAGAGGCTATAATCTTTGGAAGGCTGAACAACACACACAATTAAACTTTTTCTCAACACAGCTGCTCTGCTGCGAAGCAGAGAGAGAGGTGAGAGGCAGGGGTAAGAAAAACCCACTTCAGAGGATACAGACATGGAATCTTATTTGACATCAGTTAGGATCAAATTAAGTCACTTCAGCAAAGTCTGCTTGGAATCTGATAATCTGAACATTAAGACAATCTCTCTCGTACACATCTTACTCATCATTAAATGGCATGAGAGTTCCCCTGACCAACAAGGGTTTGCTTACACTGACTCTACATAGATTAGAATGTGGAACTCTAACCCTGGCATTTGTTTGCAACTCACATACTGGCCAGCTCTTTCCTGTGTGTCAGTCATGACAACAGAATTGCAAATCAAGGAAAACAAGATTCATTTGGCCGGTATGAACCAATATTGGTCAGCAATAGCCAACAACTGCTCTTGAACTAGATTTAAGAAGTGATTGGACAGTCAGACATACAGGGATGGACTGCACATGGAAATGGTTATTTCAGAGTAGACATGTTGCATAGCCATGACATTAAGCTGTGCACTGATTAAATTAATTTCTCGGTTTGGAATGTTGCTATGGCAGTTTCGGTTGTACAAGTGACCTCCTGCACAGTGTCCACGTTTACATTGTGTCGTGTTTATATTTACATTAGATGTCTACGAAATGGCATATTTCTGGAATGTCTGTGTGTGAGAAAATTAAAGTTTATATTGCAAGGTCTTTCACTGTGAAACTTCAGGTACGGAGCATGAGAAGTTGGATATAAAATAATTACTCTATAGGAAGCTCAATGGCTAAAATGTCATGTTTGTTATGCACAACACTGTTCAGTAAATATTCTCATGATCTGCTACGATCTACTATGATCTGTATAAACAGAATGAGCACTGATGTCAGCAATGCTGATCTCACAGCCGCCACTTCTTCTTTAACGCTCATAAGAAGGGATGTTCACAGCTTGTGCGTGTGAGCCTGGCTGTAGGGATGGGTAAGCAAACAGAGACTCTGTTTACCTAACTATCTGCACCAAGCAATATGAGGCAGGGCTGTTTTGTATGGAGTTAAAGTAACAGTTTCAAAAAATTACTTTAGTTTACCTATTTACCAAACCATTTTCTTTGAAGGTACCACATACTATAGGCTTCCATAGGGTAATTAATTGACAGCAAGTACACTTACATTAACAACTGAGGAAGTATAAAGTCCAAGTGATTTTCTAAGTTGTGCATAAGCCCTAACTCAAAGCACTGTATGCTAATGAGAATACTGACACATAGAACTACAGTAATTTTGAAGCTGAAACTAAGCCAAACTCTTAACTTCAATATGTTTGCTCTGTAAAATAGGAAAGGGATATATGCATCTAGTAACATTAAAAATAAATAAATAAAACCAGAACACTGAAAAACAACATATCCATGCTGCTCTTCACAGTATGAAGTGGAATTAGTCCAAGTTTATTTCTTTCCCTGTCCTTTATGCTTATGCCCGTGAGTGCTATTATCTCCAATACGGAAACATCAAGGTGCCTCAGCAAAACTGAGGCTGTCTGCCATCCTTACTAATTAACACAGCAGGCAAGAAAACACAGTAAGCTAGAAAATGAGAACAGTCAGGAAGATGCCATTACCATGTAATATAGTCTTCTCCTCTCCAGGTTTATCATCTTCTAGTTTTCCTCTCTTCTGCCTCTTAGCTGTTATTTCATCCAGCTCCTTCTGCTCTTCCTGGAAAAAATAAAACATGATCTTTTTAAAAGACAGCATTCAGAATCAAATAGCAAAATCTAGAACTGTAGTGCTGTTTACTCACTGCTAGGAACACATTTATTTGCTAAATGAGATTAGAAATATTTCTAAGCATCAAGAAAGAGAACACGTTTATCAAAACAATAGCTTAAAAAGCTATGTACACTGAAAAGAATCATCATCTTTTTATTCACAGACTACAGCTAAGCACTGACTGAACAAGAACTATGTCTGTTGGTTGGAGGGTTTAGGGGAGAGTGTATTATTAGGGCTTTTTGTTTGGTTGTTTTTTTCTTTTTTTAAAGAAGTTTTACTTTCTTTTTTTTTTTTCAAGCTGCTTCTGTCTATAAACACCTTTTAATCAGACTCTACATACTACACACAGATACGACAAATTTTATTTCCAATCAGTCTTGCAAATAATTGAATGAAGAATATTTGGAACACCTTAAATGTTCCTATCACCTGAAAGCATAGCATGGATTTTCTGTTTTGACAAACTACTAGTGCACATGGATCTCTGTTAAAACCACTGCAATTTTGTACTAAAAATTTGTGCCTGTTGTGTTAAAGCAGTACTTACTTCTGATGGTTTGGCTACTTCTTTTTCATCAACATACTTTGCCCATGGTCCCAGAAAACCATCAATATTAGATGCGTCATTCTCCTTGAATTTCTTTCTTTTCTCAATTTTCCTCTGTCCTGTTTCAAACACTGTTAAACCTGAAAAAGGAAACAATACACTGCCTACCTGCTAACACAAAATACAACATCACAGGTCACACTATAGTCAGTATAAAAGAAAGAGCCACCACCATCACTCCTTTCAATATAAACAGCAAAACGGAAAAACCATTTGAGCAAAAGGGGTCAAAGCATTGCCCACTTTTCCAGCTATGGACACCGCTAACTATGCACAGTAACAGGGGAACCACTTTAACTGCGTGTCATTGTTTGTTAGTGTATTTAACCATGCATGTACCCATTAATTTTTAACAATAAGTCTGCAGACTGTAAGAATACATCCGTTTTCCTACTTTCATTAGTGCAGTTTTTGACAGTAGAGTCCACAAGTGGCTTCTAATCACCCTCAATCCTCACACTTTTGAAAAACTCCTACTACAAAATGAAAATAAGACAAGTCTCCCCAAACCTCAACTGAAACCGTGCATTTTGATTTAGTAAAAATTCATAGAATCATAGAATGGTTTGGGATGGAAGTGACCTTTAAAGGTCATGTAATCCAACCACCTTACAATGAGCAGGGACATCTTCAATTGGATCAGGTTGCTCACAGCCCCATCCAACCTGGCCTTGAATGTTTCCACAGATGGGGCATCCACCACCTCTCTGGGCAAACTGTTCAAGTGTTTCCCCACTTTCATTGCAAAAAAATTTCTTCCTTATAACTAGTCTGAATCTACCCTCTTTTAGCTTAAGATCATTACCCTTGTCCTGTTGCTGCAGGCCCTTTTAAAAAGTATGTTGCTATTGACAGTCACCTGACTCCAAACATTTTCCTGTTCTTTCATATAAATGTCAGCTTTTCACAAATGTTGTGCTCTCAGAATTTCATTTGTCAAAGCCATTAAACAATTTAGATATGGCAGAAAAAGTAAACTTTGAGTCATTAATATCTTTTAAGTTTTTCAAAAGGTTGTATATACAACTATGTGCAATTTTCAAACGATGTCTTTCCAGAGCAGCAGTAATACTCATTTAGTGCAAAAGAGACAAAAAGAGCTTGAGATAAACAAGGGGAAAATAGGCAATGTAAAAACTGAAGCAGTGATCATATGAAGGAATCGTACATTAATCGTTTTCTCAAAATGAATTACTAAATTCCATTATGAAAAGGTTAATTTTTAATTTTTTTATATGATTTAATCTTAGTAGTTTCTTTCTTTGGAAGGAAAGAGTGAAATAACCTTGGATATATTCCGAGGAAAAGGACATAGAAATGAAGAACCTTTGTATATACATGTGAATAGGATGTTTGAAAAAGACATGCAAGGGAAAGCATGAAGTTTACACAGCTACAGTTTTCCAAGTCAAACAAGTCACTTAAAATGTTAAAATATCTTGTATCAAAGTATTAATTACAAACCCCATGCTTCTGGTATCAATCTTCCCAGTGGCATGCCATGCCTTTACTATTTGGCAACCTTCCAATGGTTCTTCTTTTCCAAATAACCCAAAGAGCTTAACTCCACTAAGCAGAGATAATATGCAGCTCCCAACAGGAGTGCTAAAGGTTGCACACAGAGTGATCACTTTGCTCCTGAGTAGCACAGTTACCGTGATTAGCCCAACATACAGGTATCCTAATGCAAGACACATGACAACTTTAGCCAGGACAGAATTTAAGAGGACCAAAAAGCTGTTTCAAATATACAGATAAATTCTATTTGTGCAATTACACATTGTAAATCTTATTTGAAATTTGTCAAGACAGGCTGAAACGTTTGTTACTTCAAGAAAACAAAACACCCCAGTATCTCTCTATCCTCTTTCCATTGCAACACATCTTTCTTTATTGTATCTTTGGACATGGGTACGTCTCCCATAATTCTTTCCTTTGCTAATACCTATTCCATTTCTTAGTAAAGAAGAAATGAAAACAGTGATCAGCTACAAGTCATTTATATGAGATTCTGGATTAATTACCTTGATTTTTTTCAGCTTCTTCTACAGAACCAATATACTTGGTAGCAACTTCGGGGTTATCTATGGAGGGATCTAATGCATAACCTAGAACAAGAGGGAAAAAAAATACTGTTATTTCAAGCTTTTCAGTTTAGTATGACTTTCATTACTCTGTCCCCCCGCAAATTTTTCCCCATCGACTCTGAATGAGCTCGGTATGAGGAAGAATTGATACTTTGGAATCCCATTCATTTTTCACTTGGTCTGAGTATAAAGATTACTATGAAGTAGCACCTTGAAGCCCTTGAGTACATATTGCTATCAGAAAGCTTGTATTTGCACAATATTGAGAAACAAATAAATATAATAGGCAATGGTTAAAATGAGATACGAAGTCAGGGTAGTCACAAGAAGCAAAGTCACGGAATCCTTCTGGTAGAAAGGGACCTCAGGAGGCCCCTGCAGGACCCAACACCCTGCTCCAAGAAAGGTCATCACTGAATTCAGACCAGTTTGCTGTACAAACATTAGATTTTGAAGTGCCATAGCAACCTCTTCTTGTTGTAACATGGCATAAGGAAAAGATAGCTCAAAATCTTGTGTTAGTGACATATGATGTTAAACAGATTCTGCTTTAGTTCAGGGCACTGTTCCTTGGTTTGCAAAGCCAGTGAGTCACATGGAAACCAGCCTGTGGCTGCTGCACGCAGACAGCCCTCCAGCTTCAGCAGTAGCCTCTGGCCCTGAAGCCCTCTGCCCTGCTCACCACCTCTGCAGGGTCAAATGGAGTGCTACTCATCTCTGGCAGTCCTGGTGATAGCAGCAGCTGGAAGGAAGAGGACAGAGATGGGGAAAAAATAAAAGCAAATGAAGTTTTCCAGGGCTCTGTGCGTATTCTGTCTCCACCAGCAAAAATTTAGTCCTCCTCCTGGCAGCATTGTGAAAGCTTGTTCCTTCAACTTGAAAGCAGTTGCTTTACCTAATGTGGATGGTACTAGAAGCAGTAGTAATGCCCTTTAATTTTTAAAAGAATTAAGTATTCACATCTCCATTTCCTGATTACAGCTATTGAGTCTCAATAAAAAAAAAAACAAAACCAAAACCAACAAAACCCCCCCAAAAAACTCCAACAACAACAAAATCTGCTGCATTTACACTTATAAATAATTTATAAAATGTACCAGCATTTCATATATATTCAGGATATTTACAATTTTTGAAACTGAGGTTGTCATTTTAATACACATCTTACATTTTTTCTCCATTTCTCCTGAATTGGATAGCATGACCTTACGAGAATAAGATAGACAAATAAATTCATCTGGTTTCCAAGGAACAGGTGCATTGAACAGTTACTGACCACTGTGGCTTTTTTTCTGGGAAAGACTGCACCCTGGTGGACGTAACACCAGTTTTTATTAAATATTAAAGTGACAAAATGTCCCTTGAGGACCCAACGAGAATTTCTCTGTATCAGGGAGGGGAAAAAAAAGCAATAAAGATATTAAACCACTGGCAAAAGTAATTGCACACACAAAACCAACGAAATCCAACAGCATACAATTCAATTCCTGTATTTTTCTTGATTCACAGAGAGAATCAAGAACAGTGGAAGATTAGTCAGTCCACCCCAGAGACCAACGGCCCACAAAACCACCTGGGTGCATACAAGGCGACAACCTATCAATACCATCCCAAAGGAGATTGTCTCCCCAAACATTTCTCAGAATTCTCTCTTCTGTCCCAGAAGATGGTCCAGTTAATTTCTTTTTTAGATGCTGGGAAAAAAAACCTATTATGGAAATTAGTAGAAAAGCCATTCCAAGAACACATCAGGTATTCCCAGCCAAATGGAGCAATCCACCTGTTGACCGGCTCTTGAGTTTCAAACCTGGTAAGAGCCAGTCATGGAACACTATATGCCCAGATGTTCAATGAATATGATATAGGGAGAGAAATATATAGCAATGCCCTCTTAGGAAGTATACATTCTCTCTTTGTTCTAGACTCTTATTAGGATTTACTTCTATGGATAACCAAACTGAGCAGACACTGAAATTAGACTTTCACCAAGCCACTATTCCAATGAGTTCTCTTCCAAGCTATAAGGTTTCTATTAACAGTGGAGAGATATTACTTTGGATTTATGTCAAAATCAATACAGTGGTTTACTTGTCCTCCAACTGCATTGACACTGTCTCCGGGACTCTATTTGCTTGGTACTTGTAAAAGAGGGACAGTATTCCAATGAATAGGGCCCCTGGGCCAAGCACAGCTTCCCGTGGAAGCGGAGACTCCTTATAGCTGAGTTGAATTTGGGCCAGCATCATTCTCATAGAAAAGCTCTGAACAATTTCTACTTTCCAGTGAATGTGTGAAAGAGAATCTTTTCTTTCTGGCTGAGACTCCTGAACGCAGCTGCAAAAGACAGCTTGCTTTTATCCTACTCAGCTGGTATCCCACATAATGTGCCCTGACTTCTATGTCTCCTTCAGTTTTATTTAGGAGGCAGTTATTTCATGCAACATTTTAGCAATGAAAGGTACAATTCTACCTACATCCATAATTTCGATGCACCTGAAATGGTTGGTTAAATAAGCAAGCTTTGATGTGCATTCCAGAAAGACAGCTAATTAAAGCATGTTTACACTGTACGGTGCAATGCAGCATACAGAGACCCAAGGTAGCTCAGGTATGTGGAAAAATACAGCTAGACTAACCCACTCTGACTGCACTGGCAGCTCTGCAGAATTGAAGTAATCAGAGAATAAAGTGCCTATAATTGTAAGAGGTAATACTAACTGTAGGTGTTGCATGCAACATGAGTAGCTGGGGAAAAAAAATTAAAAAATCACAGTGTTATTTCCAAGTCAGTCATCTTAAGCTCTTAAAATATCAGTGTTAGTGATGAAGTAATCCTGCTATAACCAAGATATTGAGTACTCATAAAGAGCTTGGAGATTCATGGACAAAGGCTGTTCCTTATTAAAAAGGACATTAATGTCTTGTGAAGAAGAGATTTTAAAATACTAAATGCTGCATGAATGAAGCAGTCCACTTCTAGGATGATCACTGATGCTGAAATAGCTATGAAATGACTTTTCTAACATATTCATGAACAGTTGGTGTCCTGCATGTAAAAAATAATCTCTATTTCTGCTTCTGAAAATGTATATATGCTAATATAATTAAGGAGAGTATACTGACTTTTTTAAACGATGCTCAAAAGAGAATTTTGAAGGAAAGAGACTGCTTCTGCTGAGAGTACAGATACAGAAGAATAAACAAGTGCTTGTATTTTAGGACTCCCTAGTCTTTTCTGCCATGCTCCAAGGACTACAACATTGGGAAAATAATGCTAGTTAAGCTTTTGGTATTTTACATTATAATGGCTTGTGAAGAGGAATTTGTTTTTAGAGAAAGATAGCCTTCTCTTAATGGTAGAAATTAAACTAAGTTACATCAATGGAATCAAAATGGGGTAGATTACCTATGACTGCAGACGCAGAACTAATTAAATTTAAAATTAAAAATTAAATTTAAAAATTTAAATTTAAAAAAGTCAGGACTTCCTCAGACCAATTATTAACGGCTTTCCATTAAACTGGGAGAGGATCTTATACAGAATCTTATACAGGATATAAAATGGCCTACCTGGACTATTTTACTCAATATTTTTATGGATTATGCCATCAGCATACTCCCTAGAGGTAGCTGTAGAAAGCAATGAGGTCTTCCCCGCACCCCAGGTCTCCTTTTCTCCAGGCTACACAATCCCAGCTCCCTCAGCCACTGCAGATCTTAACTATAATGGGGAAAACATCTCCAGTGCCTGTGTCAATTTTACTTCCTCAAACTCCCGGAATGAAGGGAACCTTACTGAGATGGGTAGGTCTCATCTACGCTAAAAAGCTATTGGTACTGAGAAGGTTCAGAGAGTGCTTTTTGATAAAATATTTGAGGATAGCAAATACTTCAAGAAAAATAAGCAATTTGCAATGATACACAATCTTCAGAAAAACAATATCATCAAGGAAAAGGTAGCACAGAAATCTGAAACCTCAGATAATAGGGATAGTAATAAGCACAGAATCCTATTTAAACTGAGGGCAGGGAAATGGAAAACCCAAGCATGCATGCAAAATGGCAGAAGCTAAAAACAATACATAGTAAAATTGGAAAATCTTGTTTTAAAATAATAAACTAACATAATTGGTAGGACAGTACTGACATAATTGGATAGAATATATGCTTTACCAGGTAGAAGGAATACAGAAATAAGATGGTCACACCAGAGGGGAAAAACATACTATATACCACAGAAGGCTTAAAGACAAATCAGATTAACAAGTTAATAGTGTTAACAAGCATTAAAGGATCCTTTGGATTGAAATTCCAGGTTTAAGTAGCGGTGGGTACAGTTGATAGGACTCTGTTACTAACCATTCAGACAGAAGATGCAATAACCATGAAATGGTAACAGACTAAACAACAAGTGCCTGGGAAAGAAGTACAGCAATAATGACATATTTTAGTCACCTCCTTGTAGCAGCCTGTGCAAATCTCTCTCCAAGATATGATGAAAACAGCATTTTTACACAATATACTTGTACCATGAAGCAGTCATGTTAGAGATTCGTGTGAAAAAAAGCCAACTGAGCAGTGCAGGAAACTTGATTTTAAGATAGTCTTTCTAAGGATACACATTTTGACAATGACCATAATGGGGTATAAAAATCAACACTGCTGACTAAGCAAAGAAAGCCACAAAAACATTTACAACAGTGATCTCAATCTCAAAACAGGAGGGCTATATTAAGTAAAGAAGGTTTTAAAAAGAAACAGAAAGTGAGTACCAAAGGGTAAAGCCTTTTCCAAATGCAGGGGCACTTTGAAAACACCATGTAGGAGAAAAAGAACTAGTGCCTGCCAGCTATTAAAAGACGATTTCAAAGTGACCAGAAGGAAGTGAGCACAGCTGAATAGTACATAAAGAGAAATTAACAGAAATGAGAAACTATTCTTCAAAGAGCTGAAGTTGCATCCAGATGTGGCAAATACAAAAGACCAATCAGAAGACAAAATAAACACTACAATAAGGCAGCCTCCTCCCAAAAGTGAGGGTCAAATCACAAAAGGTATAAAAACTAACACCTATCCTTTGTCAAAACCTGCAGGGGCAGAAAGCGTACCAGACAGCATGCAGGTCAACAGATGATCAAGGAATGAAAAGAGAGCATGAGTGAGGGTTTTTTTAAACGCATGTTCAATATGGAGGAGCTTGGGTAGGCTCCTGTGCCAGAACTTTTCTTTACGGGTAACATGATATAGTATCTATCTCAAAGTGAGGACATTAAAGAATCAAGTAAGTGGTAACAAAACACCAGGACGAGATGGCAGTCACCCAAGAGATCTAAACTCAAACCACAGTGCAAAGACTCTCACCTAATATCATCTGAAATGACAGAAAAGGAATGTGTCAATACAATGCCATCTTTCAAAAGAGATATGGGGATTACAGGTAGACATTTGTATATTTAAAAGATTGAAGGAGAAGAAACTATAGTAAAGAAGATGAATATGCACTTGGATCAGTATTATATATTGCAGCAGAGAAGACAGTTTTCTGTACAGGTAAATTACAATGACAAAACCTCCAGAATATTTCTGAGGTGACAACCCTGTGAATGAGCAAAGTTTGGATGATGTTGGACACCTTTACGATACCAAGTTAGACTGATCAGAGGGTGCCTCGAAGACATTTAAAAAGCCCATATGTCTTTCAGTTGATGAAAAGTTATTAAAACACTGGCAAAAATAAATGGTTGGTTTGCACAGCACAGGAAAGTTGCTGACAGATTCATGCTCTCGACCATGATCTTCAACATATTGATAAATGATCTGGAAAAAAGCAGCAAGTAGCTTTGAGCAAGTTATTGAAAGTTGTAGAGAAAAATGCAATGTTAAGAATTCTCAGCAAATGAAAAGGAAAAGCCTCTCATTTTATTAAGCCACGGAACAAATACACAGCGAGATTAACACGTAAACTTTGTGCACAGCTTTGCTCTTCATCTTGGGGAACAATACAGTCGAACTAGCAGAGAAATGGAAAAGAAACAAGGATAGCCATAGGCATGAAAAGCCTGGAAAGGGGGAACAAGAAGATTGATCAGACCTTTTCAGGTGAAAAAACTCAAACAGAGTGACAGTTATGGCCAAGATCTATAAAATAAGGAATGACACAGAAATGGGGAATAAGAAATGACTGCTCGTTTTGTCTTCCAGTACAAGAGGCTAGGGGATATCAAGTCAAACAAGAAAGCTGTTAAGTTGGACAAGTTTCAAGATAGAGATACGTCCTTATACAAGGTGCTGATAAGCTGCAGAGCTGCCTGTAAGAGATTACTACATACACAGAAAAATTATACGGGTTCAAGAAGGAGCTTAACAAGTGTGTCAAAAAGAAAAAAAAAACAAACACAATGAACTCACTGCAAATTAATAAATATATAAGCATTGCCTTTAGTTGAGAGACTGAATATTGAAAAAAAAGTATTTGGATGTATCACTACTGGCTTGCTTCTTCTACACCTCATTAGGGATCCATTGCTGCCCACCTGTCTAATAGAATAAAGGGCTGGAAGGACCATCAGTCAATGGCAGCATGGATGTTCTCAGCTATCCAAGCATCATAAGGAAAATGTACTTTTAACAGTAAATATTTACTGTAACAGAAGTAGATAAGAAAGACTAGTTGCCAAAAAATACTTGTTGGGGTTTTTTGGTGATTAATAAATAATTTCTCCCTGAATATGTACTAAGTTTTAGGTTGACATATAATATAAAGCTGCCTTTTTTTGGTGAAAGACACTCAGGCAGTTGAGCTGTTTTGGATACATGACCTCATTTACCACCCCTTGTCCTTCATTTATAGTCAATGTTTATTTACATGCCAGCTATTGCAGATTTGAGATCTCCTGCCTTAGTGCAATGGTACTAAACAGAGTAACAGAGGCCAGAGGTTTCAGGATCTGCAGGTTCTAAAAGAGAGGTTTATTCTCTGTTCTTGCAGTATGTTATGATTTAGCCATTAAAAACATGCATGGCTTAGATTTATGCCTATCAATTATACTTGCGCTTTTACACTTTGTGTTTTCTGAGAAGATAATAATTACATCCTTCCAAATGGAAAAAGAGAATATTGCATTTTCTAATAGACAACTTTTTGACAACTTAAAGGAGTGCTGTTTTGAATAGACCTACTGAGCCAGAATGTCATGATCATTTACTGCATCTTCTTGCTTGAACTTCAGCTTCTCAGTGCTTGTTCTTGCCATTTAAATTGCCTGTATCTCAGCCTTTTCATAGTTTCATTTTCACTGTACCCAGATCATTATCTACTGAATATTCCTAGAAAGCTGAATATGATAGCTGCACAGTTGCCAATGTTACAAGTCTTAAAAATACATTTTGATACTCACTTGTAATACAGCTTTCAAGGCAGTTGCTACACAGTGATTATATAAACCAGTAGCAGGAATTTTGAGTAGACTTGCCAGTTCTACCTTCCCCCAAATAAACTTTGCAAACAAAAAAGAACCCAAATCAAACACTATATGCCTACGGACTCCTTTATTCCAGTATCTGTTTTACACACAAAAATGCCCAACCCACACAATGCTACATTTAATTTCACAGAACAAAATCTAATCTGTCTATTCGGATCCTGAAGAGGCTCCTATCTGTCAAGTGCTAACATCAAAATTACAGTCAAGTTAAAATTATGCTATGGAACTAGATATCCATTTCTTAATATTGGTATTTTGCTTATATTCCGCATCCTAACAACACAATGAAAAGTACCTAATAGCTAAAACTATGTAAAAGAAAAACACTGTCATAGATATATTTCAGTTTTTAACTTTTACAAGAAAATCTCTAATAAAAGTCAAACACAAAGAAAACTTGAGGATGTGATAATCTCTAATTTTGGGCAACTTTTTTCACTGTATTACCTAGTTCTCATAGATGTTAGCAATAAAGTCCCAATCTCATCCATCAGAGAACACAGTAAGTGAATTCATACATGCATAAAAGCCCTAATGAATTTAAGGGACTCATGTTTAGGGAGGTGATTTTTGAGGCAAGAGAGTTTTCAAGCAGTAGTATTTTGAATGTAAATATGAATAAAGAAAGATGCAAATATGTTGTGCAAAAAGTTCGGTGTTGTGATATTTTAAGTTTTCACAGGAAGCATCAGAACTAGCCTAATAAACTGAATTTGGAGAATATAAAGTGATATTTCAACTGAGCAAGAACTTGCAACCAAGCTTAAAACAGAAATGAAAGGTTACAATGAAACACAAGAAAAATTAACCACTGTTATATACAAACACATGGCAGTTCTGTTTTTTCAAACATGTCCAAAAGGATGCTTAGAATCCCTAGTCTTTTGACATTTTTCCTATTTAAAAAAAAATCAATTTTTCTTACAATTCCTAAGAAGTTTGTTTGAATCTCAAGTTTCTCCAAGACTCATATGTTTTATTTTTCAAATGCAAGTATTTACAAGTGAAAAGACTATTCAAGGTAAGAAAGTAGCTACTACAGTGACCACCAACACAGAATTCTTTGGGTCTGTCTTTGCCAAGACTATAATAGTAACGTATTCCCATTTTCTGCAAATCTAGTTCATTTAGTTTGTATCTATAGAAAACCTGAAAACTCAGAAAGGCATCCTTTTGGTTTTAAGAGAGTTACCTTTAATTAGAATCACATGAAAGAATCTATTTGCATAACAGATCTACAGTTAGTCATGTTAAAAATGTCAAATTCTGACCTGTGTTTTTTACACTTGATGCAACTAATGAAAGGATTAATTAAGAGGGGCTTGCTAGGAGATCATACACTGGATTACAGTTTCAAACAGAATTAAAAAATGAGTTTGCCCAAATAAGTACTATTATCTCCAATCATATGGATTCTTATTCAAAGACCTTTTCCCATTTTACTAAGTCTGATAAAAAGCAATTTACAGAAGTTGCAGTCCTATTAACTGTTCTATCGAGAACAACTTAATTTGTCCAACATGGGCATAAGAAAGATAGAGGTGAATTTCACTGTTAAAGACTTACCATAGGTTGCAAATGTTCTTCTTTGTTGTTCAAACATGAAATCATTGATGTGAGCTGGTTCTGCATATCCAGAAAGCATATTTCTAGGTGCAGCCATTTGTTGAGTCCTAAATGGGTTTTCTGGTCCAAACTACATCAAAAAATATTAAAACAAAGTATAGTAGAATTAGTAATTTCTTATTTTTGTGTATGTAGGTTTTCAGAAAAAAAAAACACAGGAAAAAAAAGATTTGTCTTTCAAGAATTGTAATGCAAAATCACTTCAACTTTGTATTTGGTTATGACTACTGAATAAGTTTCTTAGTCTGTTATTTTACACAGTGATCACACAGTTGCTTTGAATAGTTAGTTTCGTGATTGAACTTTCTGCCTGTATTACAGAAGACAAATATCAACTACTTGACTTGCTGATACTTGACAGTATCAACACATACAGTCATTCAGTATGTGACCAGTAGAAGCATTCAGAAGACAAAACCACAGTGCGCTGTCCCTTCTAAGGGGAGGAGATCAAAAAAGATGTATCAGGTCCCACTAAACTCATGTGATTAATACAGAAATTACACTGCTAACAATATTTTTCTGCATTTAAAAAGCAACTAAGGACTTGTTGTATTATTTCAGGAAAACAACTAATGAAACCCTGCCTTTCTTTTCTTCTTGCAAGATGACAAATGCCAGTCTTCCTGCTTATCATGGCTAGGAAGAGAACGGTGACTACAAATAAATGCAGTACACTGAGACTAATATCACACCAACTTTAATTGTAACCCCTATGCTTGTCAGCCATACCAAACACCTGACACTCCCACAACAGGTTTCCCTCACTAAAACATTTACACACAGCAGCACTTTTATATCAGTACTTTTGCTCACACACATCATGGCTTTGATACATCGCAAAATGCAAGCTTGTTATGAAAAGGCCAATTTATGTGGTTCCACAAAATGTTTTCTAAACATAAAGCATAACTAATGTAGAAATCTGAGATTGCTGCAGCATTTGTCTACCTAGAATACTAACTCCTGGTCTTACAGAAGAAAAACTGTACAAAGAAGTTAAATACTGAAAATAGTTAAATGCTCGAACAGCTATTTTTATCTTTCCGATAGCCTGTCAGTTATAATAAAATGGAAAGTGGTTCACATGGCACCAAGCAGTCTAAATTCAGCCTAAAATAGTTTTTCGCTATACACATTTAGCACAGCTCAAGTTACTAATATTCTTAATACTGATGTGAATAATTAAACTGAAAGTGCTTTGATTTCAATTTTAAATCCTCTTCTTTAAAGCATTATATCTGCAATAACGTTATATCTTAAAAGCGTTATAACTGTTCATTTTGCTCTAATGACCACAATGAGTAAATACCAAAAATGTGAAAATAGTCAGAGACCACTTTAATGCAGTTCGTGTTTTGCTCAACATCTTTATAATGCTATTTTCCCAGCTTAATTTTTAATTTCCAGAGCTATAATTCTGATAAAGATTTTAGGAATCTTCTTAAAAGGGCTTTATACAGAATATTAAAATTCGAGCATTAAAAATACCAACACAGCTGTGTAGAATCTATTTTTTTAATTTGTCAAAACTAGATCCCAAAAAGCAGCAAGCATCCAAAGAAGTTGTCTTACAGGAAATTCACATGAAATTTATAGAACCTCTGCCCTTTAAGCCAAAGGCATTTCCACTTTAAAGATCAATATTGCTTCTTACCTCAGGTGCAAACATAGTTTCATAAGTGGGATTGTATTGAACTTCCTTGATAGCAGGATCAAGGTGGACTCCTGTTTCCACATCTTCCTGAAACAGACATATTAATAAACCATTTTTCACATGTAGACTTTTAAATACATGAAATTAACTTCTTTCAGTCCAAATTAGGGCTGTGGTTCAAGGTGACACTTTTAGCATTATGAAAGGAAAAGAGTACCTTGGCCAAAGTTTCTATTTTTAAAGCATATTGACTGCAAAACCAGTGTCAGCCCATCACTGAGAAATTCATCTAAGACACGTGCAGAATTTTGCATGTGAATTACTGGTTTTTTTTGTTAAAGACTTCATGTACACAGTGTAAAAAGAGCAGCAAGATTAGAGAAAAGCTTTTTTTTTGAGGATGTTTGAAAACCAGCCTTGTAAAGAAGAATCAATTAAAATGGTCACCAATAAAATATAAAGGTATGAAAGACAGAGTTCTACAAAAGGTAGAAGGCAGAAGTCACAAGTAAATGTTCTGAAAGACAGTTGTGAAAAAAATGTTACCCATCAGCACAAACATTAAGTATAACAATGATTTTCAAAGAACCTAACAGTTCCTTACCTCTAAGTATTTACCTAAAGGAATAAATGCAATTCAGCTTTAGTACTTAACCATATTTCCAAGTCCATTGTGACAAAAATTTAACTCGATAGATGAAGGGACAAGAAAGAAGGACTAACCAAAAAAATAACTTAAAGCAACTCAAGGGGAAAAACTCAGAAGGGCACATGCAGCTGAAACAGAAGACAGAGAAGTCGGTAAAGAAAAATACTGGTAAGGTAGTAGCGCTCAAAAAGACCTGGTTTCACAAAACTCTACAAAGGTTCACTTACATTGGTTCTCAATCAACAGTACCTCCTTCCTATCAAGAGCTCAGTTAATGAAGGAGAACATTATTTTTCAAAATTATTACTTGCTTCCTGTACCTTTATTCTAGTATAACAGTAATTCAAAAGGACTCAAAGGTATATTGATAACATCCCTAGTAATTATACTGAAAAAACTACCTTAAGCATCAGTGTTTAATCAGTGCTTACCTACAACAGGATCCAAAAGCATTTGTGACTCACAGAAAGAAGTGGCACAACAGAGGATCAATTAGCAGTCACTTCATTAACAGAAAATTACCTCAAAGAAACTCAGTCTTACTTTTTATTACAGTATCTTGAAAGAGCAAAGTGGCACATTCTTTACTTGTTTATTATTGTTAGCTATTCTCTGACATGCTGTGGCTAGAAGCTTTTTTTCTCCCCAGTTCAATAGCAGGTCATTTACAAATTTGCTCATGCATGCAAGACTCTGAAAGATTTTAAAACCTGGTTTTCTAGAACACTGAAAAGAAAATCAGTACCTAAAGATCTTTGGCTTGTTATCTGAATATATTTGATTAATACTGCTCAAAAAAAAAAAGGGAAAAAAAGGATATTAAAGGAAAAAAAAAAAGTATGACATCAGCAATCCTGTCAATTGTTTTTCTGCTAAGGCCACTGTCTTAGTAGAATTAAGTCCAACCACAAAGTTTTACTCTCACCATGTATCAATTATTTTACCAAGCAGGCCCAGCCATTGCACTGATCTTGCTTGAACCCTTAGCACTGCCAGTTCTCGGCCTGACCCCATTTTTCTCATCACACAACCTTTTAAATTCACTGGGCTTGGATAACAATGGCATCAGAGCCCTGACTGTCATACACTATGAACTTGCCTGGAAACAGCACAGCAGGCCTAATCCAGTCATTCACCAGCAAAACCAGACATTCCCAGTTAGAATAGGAGCATATAAAAAACCAGTTCCTAACCTGTATTACCTACACACTTAGATTTCCTTTCATAGCTCCATGTGCTGAGGACATTTTCCACAGACAACTTTTTCAAGTCACATCCTACAGCTCAGTCTGCCAACTAGACCTCACACCTTGTCCACAAAACTTACAATTTGAGAAAATAAAAATCAATATAATTGATAATAAGGCAAAATGTATCTGATCAATGGTTAGTGACATTTAAACAGTGATTAGTTTACTTGAAATTAAGATGCAGGTTTTTTCCTGCTCTTTAATCTGAAAAAATGAGAAAGATCCAGTTATGCAAAAACGCCAAGAATTTTTCAGTTCTGCTATTTTTCCTCCGCCTTTCTTTCTGTTAAGTTCTATTATATGCTGCTTAGTAATTGAGCAAAGAAACAGATTGTGCCATGAAAGCTGATCCTCTGCTGGACGATTATAGCAATTCTGGTTCTACTTCACTGCTGGTGGAACAGTGCTGAGTCACTTGGAAGCCATACAATATGTTCACTCCTAGACCACCACAGGCACAGTCTTTCTGTGTGAAAACCATCGAGCCTTGAAACTGAAGCACATGTTATATTTATCAAAGCTACACTCCTCAAGATCTCTGGTCTTACTCATGTTTTCATAATTTGGGGCATCAAATGATGATCTGATAATATGCTACTGAAACATACAATGGTTACCTTTTCATTATGCCACTTTGCCTTAAACTATATAATAATTTGAACGTGTTCCAACTCCCCACTTTACCTTCTCAGTTATTTTAAAGAACTGAAATCTTGACAGGAATATAAAGTATTGACACAACATATTCTGACATATTAGTCTATTGCAGAAGTTCAAATTGCAGCAGACAAATAATCCTTTGGTCAACATCCGACAAATGCTATTTTGTATGGCATTACAAGACTCTGATAGGTAGCAGAAACATTAAAAATATTAACCTAGCCCGTCGATCATGTCCCAAACTGCCAAGCTACCTGCATCAGTGTGTTTTGGCTGGTTTGTTTTTTTTTTTTTTTTAATGAGAGAAAAGAACTCATCAGCAACCTCTGCACATGGTGTAGATCTCCGGGTACAACTGCATGCATTGCCAGAAGACCATTTCAGCAGAGCTCATCTTTCTAAGACCCAGAAAGCAAAAAAGGTAAATACAGGTCTTAGGACTCTGTCCTTTATGCTCGCAACAGCCTTAACTGCAAGCATTCTAGATGCATTTGCCATTGCTACAGTTCACAGGGAAGGGATCACAGGAGCAGCAGTCTGGCAGAGCTGTGACTGAGATAAGGTATCTAAGGCATCTCGTCTCTCTACAGTGCTGCAGCTTTTCCTTTCTCACACAAATATCTTGATTTATCTAAAAGCCTAAGGTGAGCAATTCATCATGTAGCTTATGTGCCAAGTGTGACACAAGTGGCTCTGTGGGATGGAAGACGATCAGCAGCTTGGCTGAAAGAGGAGGACATCTGTGAATTCAGTGATGGGCTAAGTATTACCCTAGATCACTTTCCACCCTCAAAGAAACAGGAATCATCAAAAGGGGAGTCAAAGAGCTGTCAACTTAAACAGATACAGCGTTCCTCCAGAGAAAGATAAAAGTTCAGCTGTAGGACTGGCAGAAAAAAAAAAAGCAGCTTGTGTTTGCTGCCACTCAGAAATTGTGTAAATATGGGCTTAATGGCATTCTGTAATATCATTAAAGGTGGAACACCGCGTATAACCTACGAGAGAAGAATGAAGGTGTTAGGAAGTTATATTTTACTGAATATGGCTATCTTGAAAGACATAATACAATGGAGCTGTGAACTTCAGCTCTGTGTGTCACCTCTCTGCTCTTCTCACACTGGTAACAAGCACCCCACTGAAATACAGCAGCCACATTGGGCACCACATATCAGGTAAGGCATGTGCTACTGAAAAGGATCCAAAGGAGAAAAATCAAGAATGATCAAAGGTTTAAACTGACCCTAATTCAGCCTAGAAAATATTCAGATTATACAACTTTGCAGAAATTGCTCAGTCCATAGATCCACTGAACTTTGGTTAGTTGAGTGTCTGTCCAGACAGATGCAAGTATCATTCCTGATACAAGGCAAAAAGAGGCAGATGATGCCATATCACCAAGCTATTTAGTGTGTTGGTTGTGTTGTTCTTGTTGGTTTTTTTTTTTTGGTTTTTTTTTTTTTTTTTTTAATATATAGTCTACTTGCAGTATAAGGCTGATTTACAGTTCAGATATGATTTGATGAGGTAAAAAAATTCTTGATACCAAAATGCTCTCCTTTTGTTCTACAACACAGTATTACACTGTTATAGGGGAATGGCACTCAGGGCTGTACTCTGGAGTATTAGCATTGCCTAAGGAATCTATCTTGAGACAGAAAAGAAGCTTTCGATGCTAAGTGTAGACAAGCAGGTGCTTCGTTATAACTCCCCAGAGATCACAGAATGTCTAGCTCCTTCAAAGGCATGCTCCTTTAGCCCTACCATAAGGGCCCTTCTGCCGCTTAAGAAAGAGCACAGAAAATAGACGGGATTTTAGACTACAAATACAGTAAATCACATTAACTCTCATTCTTAACAGGTTTCTTAAACATGCCACAGTCTTGTTTTTCTTCAGAAAAACCCTACCTGAATGCCATAAACAAATACTGCTACTTTCTGTGAAAAGTACTTGATTTACAGACTATGAAATAGTTCAATAATAAAACAAATTCACCCAAAAAAAGCTTGCTAGTTTCTTTCTATACGAAAGACATACAGAAAGACATACAATATGTAGGAAAGACAAATTTTTCTAATTAAACAGAAGTGAAATCTCTGTAATAGGCAACAAAGTAAAGCCTTAAATAAAAAAACCCAAGCTGCAGCATGTACTGCAACACTGGATGGTAATTCTGTTCCTTAGAATGAATATAATGTTGATTACGCTGTCCCATTTCATCTCATGCAAGTAGAGAGTTTTGATGTCTGTGTTGGGGTTTTTTCTTTTTTTTCTGGACATTTCAGATAATAAACCTACCATGTTCCATTCTCCCCAGGTAAATTCATTACTAATTAGTCAAACAGCTAAAAAGGGCAGACTGCTTTGCATAATATTTAATTAGTTTTAATTATCGATTAAATTCAAATGTGGTAAGTTAAGACCACATCCCATGAGCCACGGAGGCTTAAGCAGTTTGTCACTCGCCAATTCTTCCATCAACCACTTGGGCTGTCAAATACACGTTATCTCATCCTAAAGATTTTCAAATTTATTACCTAGAGACAAACAGCATTTGCAGTGAAGCTCCAACATTAAGATACGGCTGTTATCAGCTTTTATTCTTTCTACCCATTCGTACACTCTTAACAATAAACAACCACCCCACTACCTTCAACAGAATAAAAATAAACCAGCAAGAGAAGCACATGCTAAACTGTTTTGTTGGGATTCCTGGCATTTTGCAGGAGGACCAGACTATCCTCGTAACAGTGCAAACTTCTTGCACACCCAGTACTTCCTGGCATGGGAATAAGCCCTACTACATGCTGCATGAACAGTTGCATCCTTTTGTTTGTTTTGAACCTAGCTCGTACTAGTTAGCTTATAGTTGCTGTACAGTGAGTACTCAACCCCCTCTCCATGCCATTTACTGACTTTGTAGGTCCCTGTCAATACTTTTCACCTCAGTCATCTCTTTCTCAGTTTTGGCCTCCTCAATAATTCCTCATACAGAAGCAAGACACCTCTTCAGCCCTGCTGGCCCTTCTCTGAACACTATCAGTTACAACGTATCCTTTTCTCTAGGTAGGGACCAGAAGCACACGTGTTCATCCTCTGTTGCCTTCCCCCAGGTGCTGTAACGTTTTCAGCAATTCAGTGGTGCTATTTTCATCTAGTTGGTTTTCCAATTTATAATGAAAGAAGTAGGATTACTAGCTTGGAGTAACCAATAATTATAAGTCAGTGTTATCTATTATGAGCAATTTAAGATCAAGGTCAACAATAAGCCTATTTTAACAAGCAGACTGTAAGAAGAGAGTTTAGCAAAAGTCATCCCCTCACACTTTTAAAAGACAGTTAGAAATCTTTAGTATCGCTTTCAATTATAGAAGAATTATTTTCACAGAAATATGATCTTATATAACTTATGATGTACTTTGAGGCAAGGACTCAGCAGATTTCTTACAGAATAACAAAATACATCTTAGGGCTGTATTTGCTATGCACAATTAAGTAACCCAAATGGTGTTAGCTGAATGTGCTAACAACTACGCCTTGCTAATAAAGAGAGCGAGGACCTACTCCTCTTTAAAGTACACGTAAGTCTAATGTCTCTGCCAGTTAACAGGCCAAAATTCTGAACCAGAAAGAGGTACTACAATTAGAACTAGGATGCAGAACACCAACCACTTAAGATGTGCATTCTCAACTGCCAAAAATGCACTTTTGTGCAGCTGTTGTTTATGTTTATTGTATGACTAACCCTTGTAACCTCCCTTTTACCACCATCTTTGCTTATCCATTCCTGGTCCTTTGTACAAAACATATCCATGCTCCTAAGAGTAACTGATCCTTACTCATGTCAAAACAATATTTGCACAAGTGAAGTGATACTAATGAACTGTAACTTTGCTTTCCTACTCACTCAGCTTGCCATTTTTCCAGGCCTGTACTTAAAGAACATTTGTGACTTACACTCGAACATCATGTATTTCACATTTGTTTAGTGAGGGCTTTCTAATTCTAAGAATCAGGGCAAATTCCTGAGGAGGTGACTGGTAAGCTTCCACTGATGGGTGGGATGTTATCATTTTTAGACCTGGAAGGTGTTGAGAACGTGTTGTCTACGAGACCTGCGCTTACTTCTTGAACCCCAAAAAAAAGCCTAATATCACTACAAAAAAAATTTATCTGTTACTCCTCAAAGAAGGTTGTGGTGCTAAAAGAAGCTGCAGTATGGTATGTTCTGAAAGCCTTATCTTGACATTGTTGCTCTTCTCAGTTATATGTACCTCATCTGTGATCTCAAATAAAAATGATGGTCATTTTAATAGAACGTTTTGATACTCAGAAACCTCACTCCCTTTTTATCTTAGTTAGCATTATGCCTGACACAGAAGCAGTCCTAGATGTGCTGGTGGACACCCCTTCCAGGGCACAGCCCAGCAAATAGCTTTGAACTGAACGTGCTACTGACACCCAACTCTTTCTTCCAGCTGTTTGTTTCCGCACTGGCACTAGAGATTTCACTGTGCTGGCACTGCATTTGTGCAAACAGGATCAAGGAATGGATCCAAGGACAAATAACGCCACTAAAGTTTTGGGGTTTTTTTACAATTCAGATCACTTCCCTAATGTCAGCCACTGAACAACTACATAAACCATTCTGCTGGCATGGCACAGGGAAACCTCATGCCTACAGCCCTAAGAGTGGTGAAAAGCACAGCCAATGCTACTTGCCACTTGTAATCATTCACATTCAGGCAATATTACAGCTGTTAATTAGCTTTCCTTTTGAAGTTTCTACAAGACAACCTGCCGGACACTGCAATTCAAGAAGTCAGATTTCCAAGACCCTAAGAGTTGAAAAATTAGTCACTATATACAATATAACATATACACACAAATATGATCAGTTGCAGCAGTGTATGAATTAACTAATGACCACAAAGTGAAAGATTCCATCTACCCCTTGGTCACTTTTCAGAACAACTGGGAGCAACACAATAACATAGTGACAGTCATTGTGGTGAGATGCTTGCTTTTGATTAGATATTAGTTGCCAGTACTTTCAGAGCCAACAGGAGTACCACAGACATGGTATTTGTTCTCAGACAACTGCAAAAGAAGGGTAGGGAACAGAATAAAGCTCTCTATGTAACCTTTGCTGATCTCACCAAGGCTTTCGATACTGTGAGCAGAAAAGGTCTGTGGCAGATTTTGGAACGTTTAGGATGTCCCTCCAAGTTCCTTAAAATGATCATCTCCCTCCATGAGGATCAGCACGGCCAAGTCAGATATGGCAATGTACTTTCTGAGCCCTTTCTAATAACTAATGGTGTGAAACAAGGTTGTGTTCTCACACCAACCCTATTCACAATCTTTTTCAGCATGATGCTCCAAAGGGCCATGGCAGATCTTGATGAAGAAGATGGTATCTAAATTCGATACCGTACTGATGGAAGCCTATTCAACTTAAGGCAACTGAAGGCCCACACTAAGACCTTAAATCATCTTGTCCAGGAGTTGCTTTATGCTGATGACATCGCCCTTGTCGCCCACACAGAAGCAGCTCTGCAGCGTTTAACATCCTGCTTTGCAGACACTGCTGAGCTCTTTGGGCTGGAAGTCACCTTAAAGAAGACAGAAGTTCTCTATCAACCTGCACCTCAGGAAGTCTTCCATCATCTCCATAGCACCATTGGCCAATCAGAGCTCAAATCAGTCCAGCAGTTTAATTACCTAGGCAGCCTCATCTCCTCGGACGGTAAGATTGACAGAGAGATAGACAACAGGTTAGCAAAGGCATATAGTGCTTTTGGAAAACTCCATAAAAGAGTATGGCAAAATAAACACTTGAAGAAAAGCACAAAGATCAGTGTTTACAGAGCCATTGTGCTGTCTACTCTCTTATATGGATCTGAATCATGGGTCATCTACTGTCATCACTTACGACTCCCAGAACGCTTCCATCAACGCTGCTTCCATACAATCCTAAACATCCACTGGTCAGATTATGTGACCAATACATCTGTTCTAGAACAAGCAGCAGTCACAAGTATTGAGGCCATGTTGCTGAGAACACAGCTGTGTTGGGCAGGACATATCTCAGGATGAAGGACCACCGCCTCCCTAAGATCTTGCTTTATGGTGAACTTGCCACCGCCTGCCGCAAGAGAGGAGCCCCGAAGAGAAGATACAAGGACTCCCTGAAACAACATCTCAGCCTTGGCCACATTGATCTTGATCACTGGTCTTCTCTGGCCTCCAGTCAGGAGGTCTAGAGACACACCATCTATAACACTGCTGCTTCTTTTGATTATGCACGCAGGATCACTCTTGAGGAGAAAAGACAATGCAGAAAGAATTGTGTCTTGCCGATACCATCCAAGGAGTCTTTCTGCTGTGCCTTTTGCAACCGGACTTGTCTATCTCGCACTGCCCTCTTTAGCCACCAGCGCGCTTGTAGCAAATGTGGGTAGAGTCCTTCCCAAATCTTCGTTCGTGAAGCCTAGCCATGAGTTGCCAGTACTAAAATCCCAAAGTCAAACCAGCACCCCCCCCCCCCCCCCCCTTCTGGAATCACAGAAGTGAGTCAATGTGCTACTGAACTTGGAAAATTAAGGTTTGCCAAAAAAGACTGAAAAGAAAAACAGGAACACTGATAGATTTCAGGCTGCCCTTTAGAACAGGATTCAGTTGCACTCGGCCTGTCGAGTATCCACTTCACCTCATCAGCCAGGAAAACCACACAGGAAAACATCTTAACTCAGGGAACAGCGGACAAGAGTATCTAAGAAACTGCAGTCAAGGTACGCTCTGAGATGGAGATAGCACGCTTTAATAAGTTTAATCCCCACGGCTGGGATCCGCCGGAGCCCCTGACACGCGCCCTCTCCCTCCACAGATCCGGCCCCCCACCCCGGGGCAGGGCAAGGCCAGGCGGCGGCACAGTCCCGCTTTCCCGGCTCGGGGCTGCCCCAGTGCTGTCCCCAGGAGGGCCCCAAGGCCGGCGGTACGGACCCAGTGCCGGGCGGGCGGGAGCCCCGGGCCCGGAGGGACGCCTACCTTCACGGCTACTTCCGGGGCCGCATCGACGGGCAGGGCCGGGGGCGCGGCGGGCGGCGGGCAGAGGTGCAGCACGGCGTCGCGGCTGGCGAGCACGGCGGCGGAGCGCTGGGAGCCGCCCTCGGCCTCGGGCTCCGAGTCAGGCTCCGAGTCGGAGCCGCCGTAGGAGGCGAGCGCGGCGATCGCCGCCGACATCTTAGCGCGGAGGATGACGGGACGGGGAGGTCCTGGCAGCTCCGCAGGACTCGCCGCTTCCCTTCCCGCGCAGAACGAGCGGGCTGTGGCTGCGCATTAAAAATGTGAGTCATTAAAATGGAAAACACACTCTTAAAGATAATTTATCTTTACGGGATATACAGGCGTTCGAGGGGGGATCATCCCCCTTGGCTGCTGATGGTGTTTAACCTTTCAGGACTCTCAGGCGGGACTACAAGCTCCAGCATGCAACGCGGCGAGCCTCTTGGGGGCTTTCCCCCCAGCGCTCATCTGCGCTCTGCGTGGCAGCAAGGGAATTCAAGAGCCTAGGGAGAGCTCCCGCCTCCTTCCGCACACAAAGGGTTTTCGCCGCCTCTCCAGTATAGCCCGGCGGGGCGGGGAGAGCCCGGTAACACAAGACCCTCGCGCTCCCGCCGTCTCGGCCCCGCGCCGTGCCCCGGGGAGCCCCGCCCCCCGGCGCCGATTGGCTGCCGGCACCCGGCTTCGGTTACGTCACAGCGACGGGGCCCCGCCTCCCCGACCGGGGAGAGGGAGCCCGGCGGGCCGGACTGTACCACCTGCCCGTCCGCAGGGTGGGGGGCGGTGGCGCGTGGACCAGCCCGAGCATCGGGCGGTGGGGGGGGGGGCCGGCCGGGTTCGGCCGCCGGGTAAACAGCGCTCCCCCCGCTCCCGGCTCGGCGCGCCGGGTGAGGCCCCGCCCCTCGCGCGCGCACACACACACGCACACACACACACACACACGGGGACACGCGCGCGCTGCCCGGTGTCTATTGTGAAGCCGCCGGGGACGCTCCGCGCCCGCCGCCGCCGCCCCCCCGGCACCCGGGGCCGCCAGCCGGGAATGGCCGGCGCCGCGTGAACTTCCAGCTCCCCCGCGGCCGCGGAGGGAGGGGCTGAGGCTGAGGGCGAGCGGCGTGAAGGTGCGAGGCGAGGGCAGGCGAGTAAGTGTCCCCCAGCCCCCGCTCCCTCCTCCCCTCGCGGTGCACGGGGCGGGCGGGAGGGACCGGTCCCCGCTCCCCATCCCCGGCGGGACTGCGGGACGCGCCTGCCCCACAAAGGGACCGGCGCTCGCCAGGTGTTGGCCCCCTCCTCTTTGTCCGCGCCCGCGCGGGGGGCGGCGGCGGCGGCAGGGAGGGAGGGAGGGAGGGAGGAAGGGAAGGAAGTAGGAGAGAGCGCGTCGCGGAGCCCCTTTCCCCCGTCTCCCTGCCGCCCCCGCGGGCAGCGGCAGGAGAGGGGCGTGTTGCGAGGCGGAGGAGGGGAGGGGGCCGCACTTGTGCCGGAGCGCGGGGGCTTCCCCTGTCCCTGCCCCTCTCCCTGTCCTGGTCGCCCCGTGTGCCCGCGCCCGGCAGGATCGCCCTGCGGGGAAGGTGCGGCGGTCGGGGCCGGGGTCAGCGGCGGGCGGGGGGCCGGGTGACGTCACCGCCGCCAGGTGCGGGGAGCGGCGCCCCCTCCCCTGCCCGCCCGGGGGACGCGGCCCCGCCGCGGGCACCGGGGTTGGCGGGGCAGGGGGGCGGGCGGGCGGCGGGCTCGCCGGCCGGAGCGGACCGGAGCGGGATTCGATCCCATCCCAGGGCAGAGCTGCTCGCTGGAACACTGCTACCATTGTTAGGCGCGCTCGGAGATCGCGGGGGATGGCCGGGAGCGAGGAGAAGCACGTAGGTTCCAACTTCTCCCAGCCCGCTCCAAAACGCCTTCCTGTGCGCCCGCCGCGCCCGCGGACGGGATGAATGGGAAATACGGAACGCTGACCGAGAGCTGGATGTGTCGCCAGGTGCGTGCGTTGCACGCGCTTGCACCTGGAGCGGTACATTGCCATGACTTCCCTTGGAGCTGCATGTGCTTTCAGAATTAAAGTGAGCACACAGTGACATCTAATTGTGACACAGCGGCATTTAATCTGATTAAATGCTCTAGTTTGATTTTTCCACCCTTTTCAGCAGTTACGGTTTGAAGGATTTGTTTCCTTAGCTTGAGAAGATACCACTTGGATTTTATTTTTTTTTTTTAAGATAAAATAAACGCAGAGGACGTACAGAAAGTGTTTATAGCATGGAGTGGAACAAGGTGCTACATTTAGATCTGTTCTATTAAACACAAGCATGCCTCTCCTTTGTATGCTAGAATCGGAATTTTAGATAAAAGTCTCACATTTTCAGCACTGAGACCTTTTGTTTGCATCTCCAACAGCTGAAATATACTACATTCAACTAGCATTTCATATGGTAATGAGTTGACTTTTTCATCTTAAATCTATGGATGATGAATCCCTAAGTAAGGAAAGCTATATGGTGCTTCAAATGAATCACTGCTTATTAATATCAAAAGTGGTTCTTCCACTGCAGTCAGTTTGTTTATTGGCAGTAATTGTTAACTGATTCCATATGACTGCATTCCTTTTTCTCTTGGTATGCAGATCCTGGGTGTTTTCTGAAGTTCAAAGGTGTGCCTCCCGAAAAGTGAAAAATTTCGAGATCTATTTCTGCAACCAGTCTGTGATATTCTGTCTGGAGAACTGTGTTGAAAATCATTAAACTAATTCTGCTTTGTTATCCTTGAATTTTAAATTTTTAATTCATAAAGATTTGGTAGTTTGCTTAAGTCTGTTCACCTGTGTTTTGTCCAAACACTCTAGATTGCTTGCCAATAATGTAATCATCTGGGATTCTAGATGCTTTCACTGTAGAACTTATGAAAATCACTTACTGATTTAAATTAGTTGCATTTCTGGTACCATCAGGCTAGTATGTAAGCAAACACATGTGAAGGCATTCAGTGGAATACTGACTGAAGTTTCATGTTGCTTAAATGGTAGCAAAGATAGCAAAGATTAATTTTCAGCAATCATGCTGGTGTCACTTTTGGGTTTGAAAAACTGACTTGACTACACTTGAAAAGTGTAGGTGGATAATATACATAGTTATCTAAAATCTGGTTTTGTCAGAAAAGCTGAGAAGTTGCTGCTGGTCATTTGTAGAGAGATATGTTAACACATTGACTATTAACTGCATATTTGTGATTTCAAGAAGGGGTTGATTGGTGTAAAAGAAACCACAAGATTTTTTTAAAAAGGTCTGCTCATTGGTTACTGTATGTGTGTATGATTACTGTATGCTGTATGTTCTCTTTCAATTGGGTTCCACAACACGTATTATGTTATGTGTTGGATGCTGCTGGTTTTGAAGGCAGACTGAAGTAGTAGGTGGAAGGTGGTTTGGGTTACTTGGCTTTGCTTTCCATCCAGCTTCTTCCCTGCTGTTTTTCCTTGCAGTCACTTTGCTTCTCTTGCTTTGATTTTCCAAAGGAAGATAAAAGCATCCCACTTTGTACAGCACTTTTGCATATAAAGAGGGCCTTTTTGGCACCTGTTTGTTATTACTCCCAATGGTAAATACTATACCAAGTATTACCGTGCCTTTTCCCCTGGACACTCATAGCATCTTGATTTCATGAATTTATCATTTGCTTAAGTAGTTTTCTTTGAGAATTCTACTTCTCTGTCAAATTTGGATGGATTCAACCAGTTTCCAAGTGGAGGAACACTCACCAAACACCTCTCCCAGCCCCAAACTTCCTGTATGAGATTGATTTCCTTAACAGTCTGGGCTTAAATATATTAAGTTTTAACTCAACATTTCACAGATTTTCCTTCACCTCAGTCTCTTTCTTCCCTGTAGTTGATAATGAAATCTGTTTCCCTCTGCTTTTATTATATTTTGTCCTACTTTCTTTTCCCTTTACTTGCTCTTTCATAGCTCTTTTTTTGTTGCTTTCCAGGATGGAGGTGCTTTATCTCACACCCTATGTTTTCCCTTGGTTTTTCTTCCCCACAGAAAATGATGTGTATAATCCTGCTTATTCTATTTTTTTCTCTATATATATTTTTTTACAGTCTTAAATTGCTATCAGCCCACTTGCAGATACACTCATTTCTCATCCACCAAGAACTGTAAGTCTGCAGTTTTGAGGAAAGGGTAAAAAAAAAAAAACACATGATACATTTCAGGCAGAGGATTGAACTAAAATATGAGGGTCTGTTGTCTGTGGGAAATACAGTGTTTGAAAGAAAAGTGTTTTTTTCCTTTGTTCATATACTTTTGGCTGCTGAGAAAAGGTATCATGTTATCAGGTTACTGTTACTGCATTTGGATTGGGCCTTTTTATAACCACTTTGCTTGTGTGTCTGATGCATCTTAATGTATTCTAGTTTAGCTGCTTTGGAGAGTGAAGCACCTTTTGTAACTCCTGTTCTGCTTTTTCTACCACCTTGGAGCCTCTGACTGCTGTAAGGGTGATAGTACCTCTTTTCCAGTTTTTGTGTTTTTGGACTATGTCCCGGATTCTGAAAGATACCAAGGCGCCAGATTGCAATAAGAGTTCTGTGTTCCAGTACATCTGTGAATCAGTCTCTTTAGGTTTTTTGGGAGGGATCTTGAGGTCGTCTGACACAGATTACGGGCTATATATTTCATGTTTACAAGGTGTGGTTTCACAGAGAGAAACATACAAGATAAGACTGAAGCAACTTAGACTGCGGTATTTATTTCAGATGACTGCAAACAAAGCAATTTTTTTGCAGAACCACTTCTTCCCTAGAGGATGGAAGCTGTGCAGCCTCTTCAAACTACTCAAGTGCTTAGGCAGTGCTGTGAACTGCGTCTTATAACACAAGCTGAACAAATGATGGGTCGGACAGGCAGCAAAACTAATTATAGACTTTCAGGAATGTAAACGTAATTATCATAATTATAAATTATCATATCTTTAACATTGGGTTTCTTAATTCTCTAAAAATATTTTTTTATCCGTTAAAGAGCAGAAAATGCCATCAAAAGTGTATACATTTCTGAAAATATATTATGTGCCTGTATTTTTGGGAGGGTGGGAAGCTAAATAAACAGCTTACTTATGCTAGTCTGTTGGTGTGATAAATTACATTATACACACAAAGAACTACAGAATAACAAATGTAGTTATGTTTTAACAAAGCACTTAACAAAGAGCAGAAATAA